CTTGTATAACCACCACTATTGCTCTACAAAGTGGTGCCCCCAAACGTTAGAAAAATTGGTTTATAAACCCCATGAATACTATAGTTATCAGTATCATAAACCATAATTAACAAATAGTTATAGTTATAGGTACCATAAACCACAATTAATGAATAGTTATAGGTACCATAAACCATAGTTATTGAATAGTTATTGGAGTTATTTGCACAACTGGTTTCGCTATCCTCAACGGGGGGCCCACATGGCCCCACCCCGGGGACCCCGCCTTGCCCGAGGTCAACTTGGCTTGGAAATGGGGCAGAAGCACACCTCGGTGAACCGGCCCGTGAACCGGAACGTTGTAGCGAAGCCAATGAGGGTGGGGAAGTTGATATAAGTTGATGATAGTTTAAGAATTTACGAAAGAAATAAGCGATTAATATTGATTAGTGTAGTTGATGATAATTAATAATTAGCTTTAAGAATTCATCAACAAAAAACTGATTCAAGTAGTGATTAGTGATGATAATAAGGAACGACAATTAGTTTTGATTAGTGTAGTTGCATTTAATCATCCCACAATTACGTATACTTACATGGGTTTGTCTGAGAATGCGGTATACTGCAAAAAATGCCCTCCTAGTTTTATGAATACACAGTGGGGCCCCCCTAGATAGCTAAGTTGGTTTATAAGTCCAATAACTATGGTTTATGGTACCTATAACTATAGTTCTGGGTTTATAACCCATCGTTCCATCACTGGGGGGCCCCACATTGTAGGACAGATCGTGTTTTTGGACATAGATCAAAGCCGACGTTCATCCCTCAAATTAATTGATACAAAAGCCGCAGATTTCACCAACTGAGGCCCTAGCTCGAGCTCATACAGGTCAAGGTTGAGACTCTACACATGGTTCAACTAGCCCCGGCTCACTTTCAAGTAACCCCACTCAAGCTTCAACAAACCTTGTAAGCCATTAGCGACTATTCTGCAATGACAAGCCCATTCATTTCCCAAGTACAGCTATCATTACTCCAATCAATTTTCAATTGATACCAGACCATGCGCATTGGAAAATGCTCAGTTCATACCAAACCATGTGTGTTTGAACATAGTATCATGGTTTTGTTCAGGTACAATCCCATTGATGTTCCTCTGATGAAGGAAACTATATTGAATCCAAAACTAGGAGTTCCTGGAATATTTAGGAATTTGGGGATGATTCCCTCAATGGTAGCCACATTTTTTTGGTAAGGTCATGGCCTTATTGCCTGCAGATGTTGTATATATAGCTTGGCTGGATTATAACCAAAGTATGGGCTGTTTGACACTTAAAACACATCTTTCGATGCTGAAATGCCAATGTTTGATCGGTAAATCCCAATTCTGGATGGTTGCTCTCTTGTTAATTTCATACCAGTAGCTTGCGAGCTGGAACATCACCATATTCCTCAGGTAAATCATCGAACTAAACGGACCATGGCTTCCATAGCATTGTTAAATTAGCGGAGTGTACACTCCAAATTAGTCATTCCTCATCCATTCATGTTGTTTGCTTTCCCATGAGTAACTAATATTAGCATGATTAACTATTACTATCCGCAGAGAAAACCACCAAAAACACTCTCAGATCATAGATCACCGCTTCAATTTTAACCGCTCAAATATCTTGGTGTCATCTCTGGTACCCTCTGGTTGTTCAACATAGCCATGGAAGCCATGGCCCATAGATGATTTTCCCAGCTAGAAACTTCCATTTATGATGGATTTTCCATGGCAAACTGTTAGTCATAACCAGAGGGTAACTATATCCATCTATAGTTAATCAGCATCATTAACCATCATTAACCATCATTAATCATCATTAATCATGGATTAATCACCATTAAATCACCATTTTCCTTTGGTTTTCCTATGGTTTTCCTATGGTTTTCCTATCATTCACCATCATTATCATTAATCACCAGGATAGATGGTCCCAGGCACTGATGAGTTGCTGTTCTTTCAGTGCCCGCAAAAACTCTCGCTGCCTGGCCGAGTTTCCGAGTGGCCGGGATGGGATGGGATCTGTATGGGCGGCCTTGAGTAGTGGAATGGTTATCTACAAGGTGGTGGCCCCCCAGTCATGTTTGTTGGTTTATAACCATAGCAAGTATAGATATATCCACCATAAACCCTAGGAATCGTCATGGATTCTTGAATCGGAGATGGAATAACAATAGGATCGTCATGGAATAGGTCATGGAATAATGGGATAAAACTGGGATACTGTAGTAATTATATAATGGGATATTATTGACATAATAAGGGGAGAAACATGGGACAATAATCAATGGGATACTAAATCCATATGGTATATTATGGGATAATGATCGACTATAACTAACCAACAATTTACAGAGTCGTGCCAGAAAAAAGAAAAACATGATAGCTGTGTGGTGGTTTGCAACTAAACAGCTAGAGCGGGTTCCGTTCGGTGGTGCCTCCGTTTGTTTGTTGAGTTGGTTTATATTAAGTAGATTAACTGTTGGCTTCATGGTAGACAACAACCAAACAAGCAAAATGACACAAACATGTTTCTGTGGCATGATCCGTATTCATTATGCCTAACACACTATGTGCTTACATACAGTCTACTTGCATGACATTACTGCAGTCTGTGTCAGGATAGAATTATTCACCGGCCTTGTGAAGGCATGATAAACATTTATATTCAACGTATGCTGACGACAAGCGGACATCTCTCACAATTGTCAAAAATACACAGTTAGATGGGTCATACATGTGCCTAAAATAAAAGAGCCCGCGGCGGTCCCTAACTCAAGAATATTAGACAAATCAACACACAGATGTATCAATTCGCCCTTTAAAAAAACATAATACCCAAATGTAAATGTGATGGGACACAAAGTACGAATGACACTTATGCTTTGAACTATAGATGTACAGTTATGGCCCTTTACCAGTTGTAAGTACTTAAAACCCCATTTATAACATGTATAATCCCACATATAACCAGTTGTAACTAATAAATGGCCATAACTGTAGGATCTATTTTTGGATTTACCTAGAAACATCAAGTTGAAGCAAAATCCCTGCGAGGTGGTGCCCCACTGAAAAAAGTTGCTGTGTAAATCCCGACTGGTCTCTATGATAAACCAGAGATATGAGCTACAGTTATGGCCCTTGATCAGTTATAGTTACGTATAACCACATTTATGACATGTATATATAATATTATATAATCTCATTTATAACCAGTTGTAACATGTTGTAACTAATAGCCATGGCCATAATAAATGGCCATTTTTGTGTAGTTTCACCAGATTTCCTGTGACCCGAAGTTCAGGTGTGGCACCTCTTATCAAGCGTGGTGCGTCTCTCGGTATGGGTGAAATGGCAGTAGCCGCATGCATCTCCATGTGGGCAAGGTGTACCTGCAACCAAAGTGGGCCCCCCGTTTTTCCGACGAAAAAAAGCGTTCAGTTGGTGCGAGTTTATAACGACGAAATAGCCAATAGTGCTATGGTTTATGGTACTGAAATAACTATTAGTCAGTTGGGATGATTATTCCCAATATATGGAAACATAAAATTCATGTTCCAAACCACCAACCAGCTATGGTTTATTGTAATTACGCAAATAACATCAAATAACTGTAGTATTCATGGGGTTTATAAACCAATTCATAACTAGGGGGCACAACATTGTGGACCAAGGGATGCCAACCCTGAAGGGTCAACGAACATTTTTAGGGAGATTTCACCAACAAATTATGTAACTATCCTTCAGCAAACATCAAAAAATGGAGATTTCACCAACCGAAGATTTGGAACAAAGAAACCCAACTATAGAATGATTTAAGATATGAAACTAGGATTTGACTTAGAAGAAGCGGGGATGCAATCAACTATTGTGGGGATAGAAACAACCAGTTAATCAATTTAAAGTTCATTAAATTACAACAACAGGATACAACAAGTAGTTTTGACACAACCAGATATGGAAATGCAAACAATAAAATACATACAACACATCGGTCGTTCTGATTCGATGGTGCTTCGGTGTCAAAGAAAGACATTCTCACAATCTTTGGAATTGGCTACTAGAACCTGAGAATCCAAACCGCCAAGCTGAAACCATCAATTACTCGTTAGCGGATGAACTTCAAGAAAAGTTGAATCTCAATCCATTGGTTCATCAATGTTTTCCCTATGATTTCTTGGGGTTTATAAACCAACTTATAAATGGGGGGGGCCCACCCGGTATTCCTCCCAGGAAGAAATTGCATACAACTATAAGTATATGTGAGTCACAAACTTGAACCAAGGTTTACATACGAATATTCCTATTATATGCCCAGCAGTTGTAGGTAAAACCCATGAAAATCCAAAATAATACCAGTAATTCCACAATATGTATAAATTACATGACCATTCATTTTGGGTAACTCCCCCTATCTTTCTGAAGTAAAAAACAACGACATTGGCACCAAGGTTTCCTCCAGGGCACCGTAAGCTGAGATGTAGACACAAGGCCTTTGGCACCTAGGTGCCAGACTTAGTGACTTTTATGGTATTTGAATGGAATTGATAGTGATTTTATGGGATTTTATAGTGATTCAATGGGATATTAATCGGATATAACCTCTGGTAAACGTTTACAGTTTGCTATTGAAAATGGCTATAGAAATAGTGGATTTACCCATTAAAAATTGTGATTTTCCATAGTTATGTTAGTTTACCAGAGGGTACCCAGGTGGCTCATCCCATGAATCGTAAGTGGGTTATATCCCAGCTGAGTGGGATAAGTAGGGCTATATCCCACTTATAAGTGAGATATATACCACTTAGTAATTGGGATGAGACACCAAGTAGCCTCTGACATTGATTGAACAAGGGATAGAGGGTAACTTTTGAAACCCATTGAATAAGAGATAATTGGTTTTGATAAGCTAAGTACCTTTTGTGACGTAATATCCAAATTGTTAAATCAATGAATCAACAAGTCCAGTCCATCTTCAGTCAGCTGCTGCTCCTGGTATATGGGTTACTGTCATCAAGCCACTGTGGGAAATTCTTATATCTGCCATGTGAATTCCCTATGATTGATGATTGGTGGTATGACCATACCCCAAGATGGCATAATACATAAATAAATATATATATGTGTATATCTTATTCTGTTCTCATGTTTCATGGTTAATTCCATTCTAAACCATAAAACACAAAAAAACTATCATAAAATTATCTTCATACAAGGTGGGCCCCCCTACCAAATAGCTACAGTAAATTGATTTATAACTTGTGAAAACCAGTGTTGTTTTTTTTTTAAAATAACTTAGGGACAGCAAAAAACGGATTCTAATTGATTTATCACTTCAGTTAAAAATAAGTTACTTATAACTAGGGACAACAAATTTATAAACCTACTTGCAACTGATGGGGCCTCGCCTCGTAAGAAATTTATACGATTTCCATTGGAAACCACAAACAAATCCGTGCAGACTAAGCCATGAAGTTTTACTCACATGTTTCATGGTCAAAACATTTTAAATGGGTTATGGCTTGTTATGGCTTGTTGTGGCTTGTTATGGCCATTTCATCATCATGACAACGTATTTCCTTGCACTTCGAACATAAGACCCTATTTAATCTTCTTCATGGAACCACACTTATGAACACATCATCAATCTAACTTGACCATGGCACATATGAACCATCATGTTTGGTTTCCCCTCCTGTAATCAAACATGGCAATTTTGAAATACCCTATATTTGAGTACCGGAGAGCAAATCCATTAATTATCCATTATTATCTCATGAATTATCCCATTATTATCATCATTACATCACATACATGGTTATATCATTCCAATTAAACCATATAATCAATGGGAAATCCAGGATCCTAAAATGGAGGTACTGTACCATATAAGGCCATATTTTGGGGGAATATCCCCTTACATAGCCCTGAGCAATAGGCCTTATATATCTTAGGTACCTCGAATTTGGGTTCCTGGAATGGCCATCCCAATTAAACCATATACCAACTGGTTATTGAACATAGCCATGGAAAATCACCATTTTCAATAGGTAAACCATCTATACATGGGCCATTTTCCATGGCTATGTTAGTCATCACCAGAAGGTAACTCCATATTTCTTCTCTCAGTTGCTAAATCCCCATCACCATTATGCCATGTTCCTGCTCAAATCACCATTTCTACCGTAATTTCCTGCTTTTTTCTGGTCAAGTCCCTCTATCCGTCAATCCTTCAATCCTGGCGGCCACATCCGAAAATCTTTCCGCGACATTTGATCCGGGATGATTTTGAGGAGACATAGCCACAGTTAAGGGGCCCTTTTTTCAGGGGCCTTCAATGCGATGAAATAACTCCTGCAACTAAGGTGAACAAAATCACTTACATGAGGCTATTTAGCAAGTTAGAACTGTTAAGGGCTGTAACTGCAACATGGTTCGTTAAATAAAATTGATAAATCCCCGCTCATGGACTATGATAATCCCCATATAATGGCTGATTCCCAAATAATTCCCCAATATGATAATCCCCAAATCTTACATTTCCCAGCTCATTGATATAAACCTCAATAAATTTCAAATATCTTGGGAAATGTCAGCCCCTAATAAGTACTAACAAAACCCCATCCATCTATGGACTGTGTAATCCCACAGAAATAACCAGTTGTAACTAATAGCCATGGCCACAACTGTAGACAGATGGGAATATTGGAATTAATCCATGATTAACCACATATTTTTTGGGGGGATTTATAATTTTATAGGTATTGAAATAGGGATTTCAATAACTCCTGGTTGGTGGTTGAGGCACCCCTATGAAAAATATGCTCGTCAGTTGGGATCATTCTTCCCAACTAAATGGAAAGTCATAAAACTCATGTTCCAAACCACCAGCCAGACTATTTTTAGATTCCCATCAATACCATCCATGAAAACCACTGTGAAAATCACTATAAACCACCGTGAAAATCACTATTAACTACAACTCGTGGGGCCCCCGTTGACGAAATTGCGTTCAGTTGGTGCAAATAATTCCAAGGTCACTATGGTTTATGGTACCTATAGCTATAGTTTTCTAATGGGGTGAATCTAAACCATCGTTCCATCACGTTTGGGGGGGCCCACATTGGATTTCACAAACTGTCGCCAGGAGACATTTCCGGATGCCCCAAACTGCCACGGTTCTGCAAAAGCCCCGGCGGATGCTCCAAAGGTGGAGCGTCCTGATGCGCGAAAAACGGCCGCTGGGTGAGCCAATGGGATATCTAATATCTAATATATAAGCATCAATCATTCAAGATAACCATAAGATGTAAGATATCCAATGTCCAATTTTTTAAATCTAATATCTAATAATATCTAATATATGCAAAAGATAGCAGTTGAAACCATTTGAAAAGAGAAATTGGTGATGATATGAACGGGATATTTCCGATAGAGTGGGATGTATAAGCTACTTGGGGGTTGGCCACTAATAATTATCAATTCCATCTCCATCTTTGCATACAGTAGTTTATTGATACGTAAACAACCCTCTATTCGATGATTTGATCTCAAAACCTTCATTTGATGGTCATCATCCCCCCCATTTCCGACATGATTATCCTCCCATTATCCCCTTTCTATCTTGCTGAACTACACTTGCAGTATTCATCAATGGGAATTCCAGGATCCTAAAATGGAGGTACTGCACCATATAAGGCCATATTTCGGGGGTATATAGCCCTGAACAATAGCCCTTACATAGGCCTTATATATGTTAGGTACCTCCAATCATTCGGTTCCTGAAATGGCCATTGATATTCACCAACCTGAAAATGGCTGTTGCTAGTTTGGCCAATTGGGGATTCGCCAAATCCCAAGCATCAGTCGAACAAACCGTGAGGTCGCTGCAATACACCCGTATACACATACAATGTGGGCCCCCCCAGTGATGTTAGATGGTTTATAAACACCATGAATACTATAGTTATAGGTACCATAAACCATAGTTATTGGAGTTATTTGCACCAACTTAGCTATCGTTCGGGGGCCCCACTTTGTGGGTTATGATTGATATGGGGGTTTCCATAAATATGGGATGCCCCAAAAATGGATAAGTTTTTTTCATAGAAAACCCGATCTAGAAATGGATGATCTGGGGTTACCCCCATTTTAGGAACCCCCCATATGGATAGTACCAACTTAAGACCTACAATGTGGGGCCCCCCAGTGATGTTAGATGGTTTATAAACACCATTATATAACTATAGTTATAGGTACCATAAATCATAGTTATTGGAGTTATTTGCACCAACTGAACGCTATCGTTTGGGGGCCCCACTTCTTTGCAGGGGCCTAGGGACTGCATTAGATCCACATCCAGGTAGTATCTGGGATTAGTTTCCACTACCATTGCTACTGTGGCATGGTCTAAAATCAAATCACCATACTGTAACTTATCATATGGTCACGATTTTATCACTATGTATGTATATATATATATGGTTATATACATACATATGTGAATTACATGAGTGTTTTCACCATTTGTATCATCATATAACTGTTTATGTTTGTCAATTCTATATGCATTTCGCTTATAAATAGATTGTATATCATATATGGCTATGGGTCAAAACCCACCCAATGTGAACCCCAAATTTTGGTGGGAAAAAATGGCTGAGTTCATCCCATTTCATCCCACTAAAATTGATAAGACTAGGTTTTAACTCATCCCCATCTGACCACTAGTATAGATGTATATATATATATATGGTGTTTCACTTATAGTTAAATTGAATATCACCATGTTTCACCATGAGTTACCATACATATGAGATATATTCAAATGTAACCATGATATTTCACCATATTTCACCATATTTGACCATTTGTTCCACATGGAAAGACATGAAAAAACCATAAAATCCACCGCCTGGATGGCAGGACCCTTCGGCTCAGCCTCCGGCGGTGCAGGATCGATCGATCGATCGATCCATGGCACATTCCAATGGATCCTATGAGAAAAAATGGTGAACACATGATGGTGAAAAAATGAATATGGTAACTAATGGTTATAACTACCATAAGATACATCAAATGGTACCATAAAATGGTGACAAAACTCATATGTATGGTAACTAATGGTTAAACAAATGATGGTAGATATCAACAAAAAACATGGGTGAAAGGTGAAAGCTACAGGATGGCCCCCCTGTTCGTTGTTGCGTTCAGTTGCCGAACATCCGTGGCTGAATTCTATGCTTGATGTTAGATATTTCACGAACTAGTATTCATGGGGTTTAAAAACAAACTTATAACTGGGGGGCACCATCCTGCAGATTGAATCGACTAAATTCGACTAAGCATAGATACTTATCAAACATGATCAGTCTTTTTTCTGGTAGGTTGATGAACATCACTAGTCTAATGCTATGCTCTATGTGGTAGATATATCGATATGTTGTCGCATGGATACATCGACACCAACTAACTTTGTGGCATGCTGGTTCCCATCGGGATAGAACTGTCATAGGGAACTGGATTTCTACAATGTGGTGCCCAAAAACGTTATAAGTTGGTTTATAAACCCCATGAATACTATAGTTATAAACTATGGTTTATGGTTTACTTCACTATAGTTCGTCATTTGCGTTCCATAAACCATAGTGAAATTGGAGTTATAAACGCACCAACTGAACGCTTATTTTCGTCGTTTTGGGGCCCCGCTTTAGTTGTATAACAACTGGATATTTTTCTGGATTATGCCTGGACATCCAACGCTGTTTGGCTTGATACAAAACGCGGCCATTGGCGCTAGAAAAATCAAATGCAACAAGTGATGAAATGTCACCAAATGACCCATAGATAGGTCCAAGTTGGAAAGAATATGAAAGAAGAACGTCTGCCCTCCGGTGTCATCTAGGGTGCTGGAGAAATCCATATTTACAGATGATGTTCCCATGAACACCCCCGCTTGAGGCCTCACAGGCCGCCACAAAAATGTCGCCATTTTGGACTTTCACCAGCTTGGCCACCGCTTTCCTAAAGGCTAAAGAAGGAGCCTCTGGGAGGCTTGGCACCAACTACAAGGTGCTCCCCAGTTCGTTAGCGTTCAGTTGGTGCGTTTATAACTCCCATTTCACTATGGTTTATGGTAGATATAACTATAGTTAATGGATGTTAATGGGGTTTATAAACCAACTTATAACTGGGGGGCACCACTTTGTACAAAGAAGGTCACCAAAGCCTTTGTTTCTCTTGGTTTCGACTGAAAAGGCAACCAACAAAGTCCCAGGTGTTGAAAAAGATGCTCTTAAATTTAGAGCTCCTGAGTCCCACATTTTCCCTGGCAATTGTTGGCCAAGAATTCTTAATTTTGATTTTGAAACCATTGTAAGAGATAACCTGGGGCCCCAACATTGGGGATTTGATCATCTATTGATCAAAGGCCAATCGCTGTATGACTGGTCGAGTTCTGGATTTTATCCTCCAAGAAATGTCTACAAAGTGGCCCCCCAGTGATGTTGGATGGTTTTATAAACCCCATGAATACTATAGTTATAGGATGTTATAGGTACCATAAACCATAGTGAAATTGGAGTTATAAACCCCAACTGAACCCTTTCGTCAACGGGGGCCCCACATTGTATACATGTGTTATTTCATGATGTCCTTGGTCATAACTCACGATTGTAGTAACCACTTGAGACGAAATCGTCTTCCTTTTTTCAGCGGGGAGTTGATCAGCCACAGCGCCAGTCAGACACCCTCTGGTTATGACTAACAGTTCGCCATGGTTAAGCCATGGCCCATAGAAATAGATGGTTTACCGTTCTTAAAAATGGTGATTTCCCATGGCTATGTTAATATCCAGATGGTATATTATGAAATCCACATTAGTTACTCATGGCCACACCGGATATTCAGAGCGTCGTGAGCTACTTGCCTTCTTGAAGAGACGTCCCAAAAGGATTTAAAAGGCGCTTAGCCACAGGAACCAGGGGCGAACTGATCACTACCTTTGGCTAATCATAGCTACGTCTTCTACAAACAGTTACTATTCCCCCAACTAGACTCTGGAAAATGCATTTGTTCAGTGGACACTAGTCCTCCAACACCCGACTCATTGCAGGATCCATCTGTTGGAGGAAAGGCAATTCTTGGTGGAAGACAACATTTTCCTCCATCCAAACCGAAAGCCACAGAAGTCAAAGACTCACCAAACTTCTCTCAGTTTTCTGGCTGACTAGCACCCACGAATTGTGGCCTTTTCTACAGAGAACTTGACTGGCTTTGATTGAAAACGATTGGAAACAAACTAACCCAAAAAATTGACGGAGATCCCTACTCCCGCTTTGTTCAGAAAATGGGCACCCCCCCCCAGGGCCCCCCATTTTTGGACAACCACTTAAAACTGTGGTACACAACGCTAGCCCTTGCAGGGCTAAGGCCATGGCTATTAGTTATAACTGGTTATACCTTTGGGATTATACATTCCATAAGTGGGGTTATGTTACTATAGTACTTATAACTGGTATTTTGGGCCATAACTGTGGATTGTCGTCAATTCTGGCATAACCCAATGATGATGAAACATCACTGTCCAAGAAACATCGCGACATTGACCGACGCATCTTCTGTGTTGCACAACTTCGGTACCGCTACCTGGCTTTTCAGACTGAGGGGGCGCCCATACATACATGCCCACACGAAGAAAATACATCAAAGGTGATATGATATAGATTTGTGCTATGTTAGCATATCACCCACACACACACATATATATATATACCATTCATATCTGTTGGCTAAATATCATACTTATGTTGGCTAGTAAGGACTAGAAAAGAAGGCGTATGATATTCAACCAACAGACCTGTCTGCTAAAACACATGCTTCGTAAAGTGGTGAACAAAAAACATTCTGTCAAGTTTTTACCTCAAATTTGGGTGATTCCCTACGAGGAGGTGTTTGCAACTCGCTGAATTCAATGGTTTATGGATGTTTATGGTAGATATCTATGGAATGTATACACAATGGGGTTTACCAACAAACAGAATTGCTGGGCACCACCAACAGTATGTGGTTTGTTGGGTACCATTCTTTTGACCCAACAAACCATGCTTGAGATCTGCCAATGAGGTCAAAAATGCCAATGGAGACATGATATTCTGTGTTCCATTAAATCATATTACATCTCATTGTCTCAAGTCACCAAAACGCCAAAGATCACTCTATCTGGTCAAATTATAATATTTCAGGGTCTTTAGGTCGAATTTCGCTATTTCAAACTGAAATATGGTGCCGTCGCGAAAATCGCGAAAATTTGCTGACGTCGTGAGACTAGGATGAAAGCAGGCACTCTGACAGGCGCTTCTTTTTTTTGCTCATCGGTGGCATCGCTTGGCTAAAGTCAAGTCAGAGACAAAATTGTCCTGCTGCGGGCTGTTGAACGGAGCCTCTTCACCAGTCTCTTCCTGCGAGGCCGGGAAGTCGCAGAAAACTGCTGGCTAGTCAGGGGAATCGAGGCTACTTAGGGGGGAATCAAGCCCAGGAATTTCTAACGACGTCGTTTTTGGCATTTTCAGCCCTGAAAATGCCAAAAACGACGTCGTTAGAACCGAAGGGGGGAATCGAGCCCAGGAATTTCTAACGACGTCGTTTTTGGCATTTTCGGGGCTGAAAATGCCAAAAACGACGTCGTTAGAAATTCCTGGGCTCGATTCCCCCCTGGGTAGCCTCGATTCCCCCCTGGCTTGCCGGCAGAGACTTCCCGGCCTCGCAGGAAAAGACTGGTAAAAGGCCTTTCAACAGCCCGCTGCTGCAGGACAGTTAGTTTGGGATGGAGTCGAACCATGCAGTCTTAGAAGCCTACTTATGGGGACTAACGATGATTGTTGTAATTCTTGATTTGAGGTGTTGTAAATAAGCAGCCCCTTAATTTCATACGAGTGTGTTGAACAATACTGCGTGCTGGGATATACTAGTCGGATAGTGGGACCAGTGATGGCTGTTGTAATTCTTAACTTGGGGTAGACATGAAAGACCTTATTTCAGCAGGTTAGGTCTAATTTCACGGTGACGTCGGGTGACGTCGCTATAATTTGGGCAGACTCTATAGATCACATTAAATCACATGATCCCCACAATGTGTGGGCCCCCCCAGTGATGTTAGATTGTTTATAAACCCCATGAATACTATAGTTATAGGATGTTATAGGCACCATAAACCATAGTGAAATTGGAGTTATAAACCCCAACTGAACGCAATTTCGTCAACGGGGGCCCCACATGATCCCCACTTGCCGTTGATGAAATCCCAAAAAAACAGAATTTCGGCCTCCATGTGGGTCCAATCCTGCAGTTCCACCTTCATAGGCTGTCCCACCTGGTGCGATGCCGGTTGACAAAAAAAGCGTTCAGTTGGTTCAGTTGGTGCGTTCATAAATCCAATTTCACTATGGGAATTATGGTACACAAATCATGAACGAGTTCATGGGGTTTATAAACCAACTTATAACGTTTGGGAGGCCCACACTGTGGATATATACTGTATACTATACACGTATGAGTCATCCCTAAAGCATTGCCAGGTGCCCCCAAGAATGTTTGGGCTTAAGGTCTGATTAGCGGTTTTTATCATTGCTATGTGGGGGCCTTGTTTACGATGGCTAAGTAGTTTAGTTCACTAGGTGGATTCTATGGTGTATGGAAGAATATGGTAGATATATGGTAGATATATGGTAGATATATGGGAGATATATGGTAGATACAGTATATGGTAGATATATGGGAGATATATGGTAGATATATCTTTTTATCTATAGTATCCATGGAGTTTATAAACCAACAAACTAATATATCACTGGGGCGCCAAATGGTGATCACCTTGATCCGTTGCGCCTTATCCATGTGAACATTTGGCCAGCGCGCCACGGTGAAGCGATATTCCGCGGATGGCGAGGTGAAAAAAACGAATCTGGACCAGAAAGTCACGAGTTCTCTGGATGCATCAAGTGACACCTTTGGAATTTTTGTTGTCATATCTTTTTCTATATGTCTTTTTTGCAAGACATAGATTGCTTGCTCACTGCTGTCTGTGAAATTCTCAAAATCAAACGAAACTTTTTGGAAAGAATTCACTTAGTTGCCCGATGAATTTTCATTTCTTTTGGGCAGTACGAAAAAGGTTCAGTGCCACCATCGGGGCACGGCGGGTCGTTTGCAGAGGCTGACGCAGCCTTAAGCCAAAAGGCACCGCCAAGGGATGCCACCGGCGTAAAGAAGGAAGCAATGGTTGGCCCTTTTTTGGAGGGGTGCCAGAAGCGATAGCTCAGTTGGGTTGTGTATATATATATATATGTATGTAGGTTAACTAGGGTTTATGATGATTTAAACCATAGTCAATAGTTGAAGAACTAGGGTAACAGTTGTTTTTTGATGATTTTGACCATAGTTAGTTGGAGTTGTGTTTAAGTTATCCAACTTATAACTGGGCGAGCCCCTGCTGGTTGTAACAGGGACTACCAAACTCCTGATGGCAAATCTTTTATACCTTCTATCGGATTGCAACTCAGGATGGGATTGTATATCGTATAAAATGGTATAAATACTTATCCACAGGATCCATGTATGCTATATATAGTAACATTTACCATCAATATACCCCAAATGTTAGCATATATATACCATACATGGATCCTATGGGTTCTAAATACCTATCACATAGTAATGAGGATTCCAATCAAATCTGAAGAACCCCTTATTCACTTCCATAGTTTGGGATTTGTTTGGATGTTTTTTGCGAATTATAATGTCCAGCTGGTCCTGGCACCAGGTTTACATTGTGATTCACGCCTGCAGCACCTGTCATGGAACCAGGACCAGTTATGCAGCCCTGAATATTGAGCAAGTTATAAATCAGTAAGTCACCCCATTTATGGAATGTATATCCCCATGTGTAACCAAAATTTATACATTTACCCTCTGGTAAACATACAAACAACTATGGGAAATCACCATGCTATTAATGGGAAAAACTCATTATTTCTATGGCCATGTTCGATAGCAAACTTTACCAGAGGGTATATCCGATTAATATCCCATTGAATCACTATAAAATCCCACAAAATCACTATAAATTCTATTCAAATACCATTAAATCACCACTTTGACCATTGCTATCCAACAACTAAAGGGCCTTAAACTTGGTAAAGGGCCTTAACTGGCCAAAACTCCACCCTTGATCAGGTCCACAACTTCGTACTACGAACCAACATCTCTTGCCATGTATGAAAAGACAAGGTGTTTAACCTCCCAGTGATGTGAATGTTGGTTTCTAAACCCAATTAATGCTCGTTGATATCCACCATCAACCAGAGTTATTGGAGTTTTTTGCACCAACTTTAGCTAATTAGTTTTGGAATATCATGGTATTTTATGGGGATTATAGGTATTAATATCATGGTATTAATATCATTGTTTTGGAATATCCCATAAATAGCTAAAAATCATTTATTCATTCTGACTCCCTAAAAAAAACTGATGTTTCTTGCTTAAATCGCAATTTTCCGGTGTTTTTTTTGAGAGGGACCGGGGGGGAGCACGTGATGTTCATCCTTGTTCATCCCCTCATGGCCCTCCGTCAAAAATTGATGGAAGTCTACCCTCTGGTAATTTAAATGGGATTTTTATAGTGATTTGATGGGATTCTATAGTGATTTTATGGGATTTTTATAGTGATTTTATAGTGATTTTATGGGATTTAACATGATTTACCTTCTGGTAAACTAACAGTTTGCTATTGAACATGGCCATAGAAATAGTGAGTTTTCCCATCAAAAATGCATGGTGATTTTCCATAGTTTTTTGTATGTTTACCAGAGGGTATACCATTTGAATACCATCTGGTTATGACTGTTACATAGCCAGCATAGTGATGGTTAAGCCATGGCCCATAGAAAGTTCGATGGTTTACCTATTAAAAATGGTGGATCTTTCCATGGCGAACTGTTAGTCATAAGCATTTGAATATCCGTAGATTCTTAACCAATTGGTGGTTTCAACCCCCCTGAAAAATATGAAAGTCAGATTGGATCATCATCCCAACTATTGGCGAAAATAAAGCATGTTCCAACCACCAACCAGTTAATCACTATTAAGATCACTCTTCCATTATCAATTTGAATATCCAGTGTCAAATAGATCTCTATATCACCATGAAGATTTTTAATAATCACCGCTCTTAATCGCTATTACCATCTGGTTATGACTAACAGTTCGCCATGGAAAGATCCACCATTTTTAAGAACGGTAAACCATCGAACTTTCTATGGGCCATGGCTTAACCATGCCTATGTAACAGTCATAACCAGACGGTGTCCATGGATGTCTCTGAAAACCTATGGAAATCTCTAGCAATTTCTCGACCCATCGACCGATATCTCTTTTTAGCCGAGAAAAGCTATCCGATCTTGACAGGCCACTGCCCAATTGGACGTGGATCAACTTAGAAACTCTCTGGTCATTTAACATAGCTATCGGTAATTATCTACAAAAACAAATGTTTGCAAATCATAGATATTAACATAGTTGACAATGTTTAGTCGGTAAATTATCTATACACATTTTGCAATTTGCTAATCTGCTGCAATTTGTCAATATTACTGGAGGGTACTGATGATAAAAATATCATCCTTCAAGCTACCAACCTACTCTATTTGTCTGGATACTGGATACCTATCTCGCTGTACCGAGCAATAGCCAATACCATCTTCAGTTGTTCAGACCAAAAGCAATTGTTTGCTATGAGGACATATCTGCGACAACAGTAGAACACGTCTATATTTGACGCTAGAAACCATGATTCTGGATAAAACAAAATAATTCATCAAGCTGAAATAAGTTCATATTGGAATCGAGACAAAACTTACAGTTATGTCACAGTGAGGTCATTATAAAAGGCTCACTGCAAGAAAAACAACCATTGTCAATCCATTCAGAAGTGGCCACCAATCTGGATAAATCAGAAATACCATCTGGTTATGACTAACAGTTCGCCATGGAAAGATCCACCATTTTTAAGAACGGTAAACCAGCGAACTTTCTATGGGCCATGGCTTAACCATGGCGAACTGTAACAGTCATAACCGTAGGGTAACCCACCCTTTTCCCATCATCCCTTGAGGCCGCCAGGACAACGCAGCTTCTGGTGGTGGTGTCTTTTGAAGGCCATGAAAGTAGAATAGTACAATGTGGTGCCCCCGAACGATAGCTAAGTTGGTGCAAATAACTCCAATAACTGTGGTTTATGGTACTTATAACTATAGTATTCATGGGGTTTATAAACCAATTTATAACTAGGGGGCATCACATTGTAACAGTGAAATGGCCATGGCAGTGGCTGAATTCTATGGTTTATGGTAGATATAAAACTATGTAATGGGACATTCTACAGTGAAATGGCCCCAAGAAAGTTAGAATCAGTTAGAACTGCTTATGAACCTATGGGATTATACATGAACCATTTCTATGGGCTTTTCTTGTATAACTCGGGCCATAACTGAAAGAGGTATACCCAATAATGAACCATTATAGCTTGGAGTTTATTGTTGGGTAGACATGAGTAGACCACCTATTTGGGATGATCACTGAAAAAAACTGGGATTCATCGTGCCAGGGGCCAGGACAAAAATGCACTGAAATTTAGCGAGTTACTGTTGTTTAACAAACACTAACATACACTAACCAAATTGTTACGTGAGCCATAGCATCATATTCACATGGCATTCCCATTATCCTCTCACAGATTGCTGGCAAATGACCTCATTTATGCTTGATCAACCTGCCACTCGTATGATTTCTACATCCTCCTTTTTTTCGTCCTCTACAGAAACCACCATCCAGTCTTTCGGCAGGAATGACCTTCGGTCAAGTGTCCTCCCGCTTTCGCACTGCCTCTAACTGCACGGAGGAGCAGTAGTATGATGGAAATCTGGTTCTCAACCGCTCCCCTGGTAAGGTATCCCCCAGCCAGCCCTAATACAAAACAGCCTCCAAGCAATGTTCATCCGAAAAGACGTCGTACTTGGAGGATCATCCCACGAATCGTGGGTAAGTGGTCAGTAAGCCGCTTGTTAGCAAGTCCCCAAGGGCCCAATTCTTAGGGTATCCCATTTAGGAGTAGGTGAATCAACCCCAGTTACTAACCTTTGCCAATCTTAGATACCGAAAAAACAAAAATTCTTTGCTGGTGACCCTAGAAAATTAATCTCATTGATACCAAAAGACTAAAGGATTAGTTTCTACCCATCCAAGGTTAACCTATTGATATAAACCGAACCAGTTCACAAACTCCATGCTCCTAGAAAGGGTTTGACGTTTTACAGGTGATCCCGGGACACGACAGCTAAGCGACTTCCCAGTTTAATCTACAAAAAGTGGGGCCCCAAAGGATAGCTAAGTTGGTTTATAACGCCAATGACTAGGGTTTATGGTACTTATAACATCTTATAACTATAGATAATGGGCTTTATAAACCCATTTATGCCTGGGGGGCCCCACATTGTCGTAACCAGTCATTAAGTGGGACGATCCTCCAAGTAAGGCAAAAAAAAATTGGTGAGTCCTCCCTTCCCAGGAAACCATAGGAAACCTTGTCCACGAGTGAAAGATCCATCCACTTACAACCCCCAAGTTTCATTTGAAATCCACTATAACTCGAACTTTTTAGCGCTTAAATCATGTGAAATCAGACACCAAACCCGTCAATTTTCATGGTTAAATCCCAACTTTCCAACATGTTTGATGCTTAAATCACGGTAAAATCCACATTCTTACAGTTATGGCCATTTATTGGTTATAACTGGTTATAAGTGGGATTAGACATGTTATAAATGGGGTTTTCTTAGTACTTATAACTGGTAAAAGGGCCATAACTGTACCATCTAAACGTCACTGTTCCACCGCTGTCACCGCCGCACCGTAGCCCGCCGCGGCGTCTGCTGGGCGTGGCGCTAGCGCCGCAGGCGCCGCAGGCGCCGCAGGCGGGGCGGTCTTCGACTCCTTCCTGGGCGGAACGATGATAAGTTTTGGGGTCATACTGTGGATGCAATGGGATTAATAGTGGTATCACATGGTGATATGGCCATGGCTATTAGTGGTTTAACTTATGGTTTAACTTATGGTTTAACTTATGGTTTAACTTATGGTTTTTAATGGGATAATCATGGGATGATGGATATTACATATAGGGATAATAATGGATATTATTCGGATATTGTTGGGATAATAATGATATAGTAATATGTTAGTGGTTTAATATTGGGGCGAGGACTGGATATATTATATGGGGATAACATTGGGATAACTATGGTTTATGGATGTTTCTGGATAATAATGGGATAATATTGGGATAATAATGGAATGATGGGATACATATTAGTGGCTGAATTGGATGAACTATGGTCTATGGTAGATATATAGCAGTTAATGGCCATGGTTATTAGTTATTTAACTGGTTCTTTCTATGGGGATTATACATGAAAGATAAATGGGGTGACTTGTTAGTACTTATAGGTGCTATTCCGGGCCATAACTGTAGACTACCAGGTTTATCTGCAAATAGGTAGATTCTCCATGCCCTTGTACTAACAAGGTGGCACCCTTAAATGCCCCTTCAGTTTTGTTGGTTTATAAACGTTATTACATAACTATAGATGGGATGCCAATTTATAGCTGAAAAAACACTCAGGCGCAGACTGGGTCTGGTTGATGTGTTGAATGCAAGGTGTCTCCTCTTGGGGCGAACCTTTGGTAGAGTCTTCATGATACTAAACATACCCCTCAAGTATACTCAGTCATATCTGTAATGATCAGCGCACGGATCATTTAGCATAAATAAATCACCAGCTTATGCTAAAATCACCATCAACCACCGAACACATCACCATTATAAACCGGTTTCTCCCATTTTTTTGCTGTTCGCATACCCCTTATTTCTGTTGGTTAAGTCACCATAAATGACAGTTTTTCCTACTAAAATCAACAGTTACATCACCAGTCAAATCACCGTTTCTCATTTAAGTGATATATAACCTTAGTTGCTAGAGTTATTTCATCCGCCACAACTACCTTTAAGAATGATCAACTGGTTTATAATATGTTATAATTCAATAACCTTAGTTACAGGAGATCTATTTCCGTTTAACTCCATTATTCATTATAACGTATTCTAAACTCCATAAATAACCTGAGTCATATAACCTTAATTGCAGGATATTTAGTTATATTTGTTAAAGGCTATAACTGTAGCTAACTCCATGTTTCTTCTCTCAGTTGCTGGTGAAATCATCACCATTTTCCTGCTCAAATCACCATTTCTACCGTAATTTCCCATGTTTTTGTCGGTGAAAATCCATGTTTATGACATTTACAGGGGGTAAATCCTTAGCTCCAGGATTTACAATTCCATATATATATATATGTATATATAAATATATATATATATATATATCATATATATATATATATCATATATATATATATAAATGTCATATATATATATCATATATATATATCATATATATATTGCGAATGTCAATCCCCTATTGACAGAAAACCCTGTTTTCCACCTCTGGCCATTTGACTCCGCGCCCTCCCTCCCTGCAGAGAAAGGTGTCGGTCGAGGCACGATCGAAATGCTAATGGAGACAACCCTTCAGCAAACTTGAGAGTTTCACATACCTTCTGTATTGAATGAAACCCCTTTTGTTTTAATCATTCATTTTCTTATCTCTCAATTGCTTGCGAAAAACGGTTTCCCCAGTCCACAAAAATGGAAACGATGCAGCTCCACGAGATCCTGTCCAAAAATCCTTCTCAGTTCCCCAACCACTTACTCGGGTCTCACGACTTGCACTCAAACACTTGATCTCAACCGGACACCCAGTAACCCCTATAGGAACAAAACGTTGATACCTAGGTTTCACATGAACCCTGTGGATAGCATCATGAGGACCAGTCTTCCAAAAATCCTCAAGTTCCGATTTCCTTTCGGACTGTACATTCTGGCATTCTGCCACCTGATCGCAAGACGCAGTTTCTTTCCTTTCTGCATTTTCGGTTTCTGGAGAACCTGCTTGATTCTTGATCCACTGAAGTCTTTGTCTCTTGTCCGCTCTGGTTTTCAAAACTTCTTGTTCATCGAAAAGGGAATACCTGCCAGTCATCAAACACTGTCTCAAAACCGATGCATCCATTGTCTTAGTCAAACAATCTGCCAACATTGCCTGACTGGAAACCCATCGAACATCACAGTTCGCTTTCAGTCTTTCCCTTATCAAGAGACATTCAATGGTTGTTCGGTGCTCACTGCAACTCGGAACGGCCGTCCGGGTCAAGATGTCATACATGGATCTGCAATCAGTAACCACTGCTGACCGAGTCTGACTCTCCAAAACCTGTTCAGGGTTACTCCACTCACAGTTGGGATTTGATATCCATGCCCACATCATTCGGATCCACAACAGCCGGTCCACTGAGTTGCTTAACGCTGCAGCTTCTGCACTCAAAGTGCTTCGCACAATCCGGGGAACTTTCTTACTTGTCCATGCAATTGGAGCAACAACAGCTTTCTGATTTCCCAAGAGTTCAGGGGTTGTTACAAAGATTATGGTTCCCTGATGTGCATGCAAACTTTTATTGGACATGAAGCTGGCATCGGAGAACGCACAAAACGTGACACGAGTTGGTTCTATGGGCAAAACCATTAAGGCAACAAGAAAACCTTGTTGGCCTGAATCAAATCTTCAACCTTGGCTCGTGTAACATTTGATTGCAATTCCCCTACCTTGGCACTCAGGTCAGGTCTAGTATGGACTGCGGCATACTGTAAAGCTCCTATGAGACTTCGGAACAATGTTCTTTCCTGGTCTGTCACTTCAGCCTGTGGGTCATTCTTTCTGCTCTTGGAAATTGAAATGGGAGAGATCTTATCGATGTACGCCACCTGATCATACTCGATACTTCCATCATCCCACTGCTTGAAGTGAATTCCAGTATATTTAAATTCACCAGTCTCAAAAGATCCAAATTTGAATCTTTGCTCAACTCTTTTCAGCATCGCTCGGAAAGCCTCATTGCCACCACCAATGCCGTCATCGACATGAAGTCCAAGCGCACCGCATGGGCGATATTCACCGTTCTCATCTTCTTCGCCATAGGAGAAAACACATGGGTCCAGCGGGTGTTGTCTGCATCCCTGCTTAAGGAGTTCCTCTCGGATTTCGCAGAACCAGAGATACGGTGCATCGACTCTGCCATACGCTCCTCCATTGAGAGCGCATTGATCGCTTTCGCCCATTTGCAGGGCTTCTCGAATTTCTGGCGTTGGATGAAGTCCAAGGTTTCTACCGTCTCCTTTTCCATGAAGGAAAGCAGTTGAGATATCAAAACTCATCAATGGCCACCTGTGACTACTGACCTGTTGAAGAACCACCTGCCTACCATCCTTTGTCAAGGTCGGTGCATCATTTTTCACGGTATCCACCTGTGGATCCTCAAATCCAATCACAACAAGACGGGCTTTGGCTTTTTGTCCATTGAGAGCCAATTCACCTGGTGGTTCATCACCAGAGGCATTTTTCCATGACAACAACCATCGACATCTCATGATGGCATTATCCGGAATTTTTCCTTTTGCCACCTTTTGGATGGTTTTATGACTCAGCCAAGCTTTCATTTCTTTGTCCTTGGCAGCTGCAAAACGAAGTTGATCCTCTTGACCGAGATCCTTCAGTTTAATCTCAACCCTCTTTTTACGCAAGTCTGTTGCCAAACATGCCACTTCATTTGGATCACCTTCGCACGACTTTTCCCAGCTTGGAGGGGTGATATCTATTTCCCAGTATTGTTCTGTCAAAGGGTTAGAAAAGTCAAGGGTATCCCCAAACAACAAGTCCCCATCATCATCATCGGGAATAGGTACCAACCTTCCATCGGTCTCTACCTCTACTCCCTCACCCTCTCCTAAACCTGTAACCTCCCTTTCGGGTTCCATGAGAGATGGTGTGTATCCCGAAGACAAATCATCCCTTTGATCAGCTATTGCATCATGACTGGGAATCTCATCAGCATGCAAGTCAAAGTACTCTGCCGATTGAACTTTGGCCATCCAGCTTGAGACTGGATGCATGGCAGCTTCTTGGTCTTTGACCGCTTGCCACTCTCGAATTGACGCCGGACGCAGCTGCTCAGGACTGGCACGAATTAACTTGTTTGCATGAACAAGCCAGACAATGCGACGGCCTTCAAGCATCACTATTCGGGCTGGCCCATGCCACATTCCCCGAATCCTCCTAAGGTTTCCCCCCTTTCTCTTCCAATACAAGACCCAATCACCCTCCTCATACGAATCTCTCAGGGGTCTATTTCGTCTTAAAAGAGCTCTTCTAAGGCTGTTGCAATTGTCGGCCTCGATGAACGCTTTTCTTGCTTGAGTCCTTTTCTCCAGACTCAGTCTGAATTGGTCACTCTCAGGAGAGTCCCCAGCCGCCAATGCATGACTTGCCTGTTGCGAGTCTGAGGAGATTGATGCTGGAAGTCGCCGAGAGATCCCCAAAACTGCTTGTTCCGGTGTATACCCCTTAACCCTGGACAATGCATTCTTGGCTATGCATGCCTGAACCAGGCATTCCCGAAAATTTTCAGGGTCATTTATGGGCATCTCTTTGTCCATTCTTTCCAGCATCCTTTTCAGAATTGACCCATGCACTTCAGCTCGGCCGAGTTGCCAGTGACTATCTCTGGCGGATACCTTCATTTGAATCCCATACTCTTGAAGCTTTCCCAAAAACCTTTCAGCAGTGTATCCCGTTGCAGGATCAGCATACAATTCTTTTGGGGGTCCCGCCCAATTGATCCAATAATTTTCAAGGGCTCCTATTTGAGATTCTGTATCCATGGAACATGGCTGAGCGACATGAAACAATGTTCCTTCGTCAAGGAAGTGCACGAATTTGAACTCTTGTCCCCGACCATTTGTCCAACTTGCAACATCCATGCCAACCACCTCATTGAAACCCAAGTCACGATGGATCGAGGCCTGACGAGTGGATTGAAAACTCTTTTGAGATTCCAGACAAGAGTCACACTGAAAATCTAAAGACCCAGCAATGATCTCCTCTGCGGCATGAGTGCTCTTCAAAAACTGAGCAAACTTCAGTGGATCGGGATGTCCCATTCGATGGTGAACTTGTCTTATCCAATCCCTATCCTCCTTTCCAAGTTCCAAAAATCTGGGTCCATGACGTGGTACACTCTTTGGAGGGTGACCTAAAATCCCCAAATCAACATCAGGTTCCCCTTTATCTTCAGGTTCAGGTGGATTCGACGGTTCATCATGTTCCATTTGTGCATCCCTCAGAGGTTCTTCTTCCATGCTTGGTATTGCCGCTGGTTCCGCAGAATCGGCAGATCGGTCACCCTCAGCCAGGTTTTTCATCAGGGAATCTCCTTTCTTTTCAGAAACCCCTTTATCCCCAAAAACTGTCAAACACAACCTTGCGGGACGAGACTTACGAATTTGTTTCCCCTTGGGAAGATCCTGCCACTTTTCAGGGGTTCCCAACACTTCAACGTTCCCAGATTCCCGGTTGAGGATGACGGTGAGCCTGTAAATTAAATGGGAAACATCCACTCCAGGTTTTGGTATTCGATATCTTTCTGTTCCCCTGCAAATCTCCACCCTACCAACATCAAACGAATCAACCAACATTTGAACCCGATGAAACAACTCATGACCTGATGAGATAACAATTGTACCAACCCTGGGTGCTTCTTTCTCGGCATCTTTAAAGATGTCTTTCCAAGACACTGCCGGGCCGAAACTTGCTCTACTCCCAGAGCGATCGGCAGATGCAGACGGACTCTCTTCTGCCTGCTTATAGTTGAGACGGCGTCTCTTGCTGATTTCTGCTGCTGCTTCTTCCTGGTCATGCTCGCGTACCCCATTGCATGGAACACACAGTTCCTCCTGAAACATAGGGAGTTCAGAACACCTCAAGCTGTATCGGATACCCTCAATCACATTTCGAGCAAAACCTCTGGAATATTTGGCAGCAAAAGCAGAGAGATTTTCCCATCTGCCTCGAATAGGCATTTTGCCTTGGATAGGAACATGGTCATGCTGTTGTTGGCAATATCTTGAATCTAAATTGCCATGACAGCTTTTGGAAGTCGTGAGCACAATGGTCCTTTTCCGCAAAAAGTTTTCCCTGAGGAATCCTAAGACCACCTACTTCACACATATCAAAAACCGTACGATAGGTTCCCTGAACAACATCATCCAACTCCTTCTGAACAAGAGCCTCTGAACCCTGTGGTTGTTCCAAATGAAAATGACGCCTATGGATCACTTGATGCCAAAACAGTTCACAACACAAACGAAGATGAATCTTTTCCTGTTTTCTCCCTTCATCTATCTTATGTGCTGTTGCTGTGCTTTTGCTGCGGTTCAAACGGCTGAAGTTACCCCAGTATCGGCATTCTGGTGCGACCCAAATGTGCTCCGGCTCAGTCTGTTCAATCAACTTCCAAAGTTGCTGTTGACCTTCTTTAGTGCTGAGATCTCCATCTTCACGAGTGAACCTTCTAGCTTTAAGACCCAGTTGTAGTGCAACTTCTGTCAGTTTTGAGTTAGGTTCACAATAGATTTCCAACAATTCCAATTTGGATGGAGGTAGTTCAGCTCGTGGTGCTCTCACACGTGTCGGAGGTTTCTCAGCCATCAAAGCTAAGAGATGTTCCACTTCCTTTTGAAGTTCCTGAGATCGTTTCTCCAAGTGCTCCATGATGTGACGACCATGGGAAATAACTTGAGCTATGCTTTTGTCAGGAAACCTCGTGGATCCATCCCTCATCTCTGACAATTGAGACGAAATCGAATTGGCTACCGCAGCATTCACTTGCTCATAGTGCCCTTGGTCAGCTGGTCCAGCTGACGCTGAAGCAGGACAATCTGCGTCTTCAGGTTCTCCACCATCATTGGATCCACTTCGGCTGCCATCGTCGATGACTGCCCCGTCTCGGGATATCCCCTCTTGCTCCCAGAGGCGACCATGATCATCTCCTCCTCGTCGACCTCGTTCCACTCCGTGGATGCCATGTTCATTCCCGTTTTCCCCGTCTTGCACTTGGCCATTGGTTGAGGCATTGACGTGGGTCCTTGAGCCTCCTGTTGGACTTTGTTCCAGGCTTTCACAAACTCCTGGAATGACCGGGCCCAATCGCTGCTCAACTGACGGTGTCGCATCATCCACATGGCATACTGGTAATCCCCTTCCACAGTCTCGAGGAATGTCTTTCCTTTGTGTTTCCCCTCGTTCAACGTCATGCACCCCCATTGACGGAGGCTTGTCACCCCTGGTGGTCGAGTGATCTCTGTTTCCTCTTCCTGTGTCATGTAGGTCAGATCCTTGTTCTCGGGAAACGGCAAAGGCATGTCGAGAGTCTTTGCGGCATAGACGGGCTTCATGGCGGAAATTCCCTTGGACGGATTCCACTTGATCGCACGATGTCGTCAGAGTCGAAGTCTTGGGCAGTTGAGCCACTTTGGCTGTCGGTAGAGGTTGATCTGGCTGCTGCTGTTTGTGTTCGCAGTTACTCACATTAGTGATGATTTCACATTCCAAAATTTTGTGCTCACGACTGAATGCATTCAAAATTTCTGACAATTCCACAGTGAACAAACCCTTTGAGTTTGCTCGCAGCGGGATTTCCATGTCACACTGATTCAAACGCAAGCAAGATTTGTTGGTGCAGACATCAGCGTCAATTGCTTTCAGAAAAGAGTTGGAAAGTAAGAATGGTGTTTCACCTGAGACTACCTCAATTTTCAACCAACGTGAACCAAAAGGAATGTAAACGGCTCCAATGCTAGGCAAAACTGCATTGTTCCCAAAACGAAAAATAGTCTCAGATTTCTTCCAACTGACTTGTTTCTGAATCCAGGGTGGAAGACTTTTCAGCAGCTCTCTCACTTTTCCTTGACCGATCACAGTCTTACTGGCCCCTGTGTCAATGATGCCAGGGCATCCAGTTTCAACTACAAAAACCACTTCCCTACGTTCAGTTCGACCAGTATCGGCTTTCCTGGAAATGGCCCCACAAAGCATATTGCCCAAGCTACGCCCATTGAGTTTTGATCGGTCGGAAGTCAGAGTCATTGCTGATTCAATGAATTCTTCATTAACCTTTGAAAACACTTGGAAAATGGGAGGGCTTTGTTTTCCAAACTGACAGTCCTGGGAGTCGGCCTTCTTGAACATTTCCTCGATGGTGACCATGGGAGAGACATTTGCAGGCAAATGGGACAGGATCTCCTGCTCGGGCTCTTCGGACATCTCCTCGGTGAGGTGATGAATCTCCTCCTTATCCATGTTTCGCTGTGGGCACTCCAACTTCCAGTGTCCTTTTTGTCCGCACCTCCTGCAAGTTGAGTTGGCGATACGTTCTGCCAACGTTTCACGCTTCTTCTTCGGCATGAAGTCAAAACGACCCCCTTTTCGTGCTCCTTTGGCTTTGCCTTTTGCTCCACGAGGTGGCCAAAACCCACGATGCTTGAGCTTGTCTCTGATGCGAGCTCGAGCTTCAGAGTATGTGCTAAAGCACATCGCCAGGTCACTGTTCTCCTGACACACTTCAAGCAACTGGTCTTCGAAGTCTTGAACTAGGAGAGCTTCTTCATCACCTTGTTCGGCTAACCATTGAATGGCTCCTTCTTCATCAAAACTTTCATGCTCGTGAGCAATCAGGGCCTCTTCATGTTCTTACTCCACCATGTTGATCGGATACACTTTCTTCCGACCCTCGGGTTGTCCCATGAGGACCTTGGTTGACAACTGTCTCATCGATGCTTCCACCTTCGTCGGCGTCATGTCATTTCCAATCATCGTGATGACCTTCTTCTTGTCCTCCACGGAGAGTGCTGACTGACGCAACAAAATGAAGGCCCGAACATCCTGGACAGATCTCGTGTCGATCTCATTGAATGCCACTGCAAGTCGGTTGACATAGCTTTGAGTGCTTTCGTCTTGTCTCTGAGTAGTTTTGTAGAGGGCCCTCTCAAACTTTTCATACACCTGGAGCTCTTCTGCCTCTTCCCAAGTTGAAATTGCTTTCAGCAACGTTTTCACTCCAGTCTCTGGTTCCATGAGTTTCGTGGCATCCAGATTCTTTACCTGATGCCAAGCCGTGCCCTTGGTCAACATTGCCAACCTTGGTGCTAACATCGGCAAGTCCTTTTTCGGACAAATACTGGCAAGAAATCGCACTTTGTCTCCATATTCCCGAGGATCATCAGATTGAGGATCGAAGCTCGGTAAAATCGTCCAGAGGTGACTCTTCTCCTCTGAACTCGAAGGGGCAGAGCTCGACATTGCTCCGCAAAGTTGGACACCCCCGGTGTCTCTATGAAACAAAACTTAAAAGAAGTGACCACACCTCCTAGTCCTCAAGCCTTGGCCTGTCACCGAAATGGATGAACCCTGTCAATCCTATGCCTCCCCCTTATTATTTACCTATGCGGGCCAGGGGTCGGCTCCGCTACCAATGCGAATGTCAATCCCCTATTGACAGAAAACCCTGTTTTCCACCTCTGGCCATTTGACTCCGCGCCCTCCCTCCCTGCAGAGAAAGGTGTCGGTCGAGGCACGATCGAAATGCTAATGGAGACAACCCTTCAGCAAACTTGAGAGTTTCACAATATATATATATATAAATGTCATATATATATATATAGGCTATATAGCTAACGTCCATGGCCCCAGTACTGTTCTTTTCCCAGCGTCCTCACGTAGCACTTCAGCGTGCCATCCGTGGCGGGCACCAAAATCACCTTGGCGCCGCGCCAGACTTCGACGGCCTCGTGGAGCGGCTCGTTGATCAGCGAGGGACGGAAGACCTCGTCATGGCAACCAGCATTGGGTGATAAAACTACAGTGATTATCTAACATATCTAAAATAGTATATCTAAATAGTATATGAAGAAACAATATCTAATTGAATTAGTAGATTATTTATTAACCACTACTTCGGAATTCATGGGATTAGTAGTGGTTAATTATCAGGAATGGTTGATTGGTTCTTGGCTAATGGACCTGCTAAAGTACTAAATTAAATTAGCCTCCAGTAAAATAACTTGTTGACCCTGGCAGTTGTCGGGGTTGGAAGATTAGTTTCCATTAACTTTTACTGATTTTCAGGGTCTATGTTTATTTACCAGAGGGTATCATTTCTTTAAATCTATAGCCATAGCAATATCTATAGCTAGCCACTTAATATCATTAAATATCATCTATTATCTTAAGTCTTAAGTATCACTATATAAATACCATTAGTGATATATTAAATATCATTAAATATCAACCATATCTTAAATATCATTAAACTGCATTAATGGTTTACTTATAACTAAGTATTTATCACTCCAATAACTATGGTTTATGAAACGCAAATAACTATAGTTAATGGGATTTATTAGCCAGAAATTGGGTGATATAACTATAAATATCATTCAATATCATAGCTATTTTAAATAAGCAAACAGTAATGATCTATAGCTAGCCACTTGATATGGATGTTCATAACATAATAAGAGGGTCATCAGTGACGGTCATCATGGTTGTTATCTGCAAGGTGGGGCCCCCGAGATAGCGTTCAGTTGGTGCAAATCACTCCAATTTCACTATGGTTTATGATACGCAAATAACTATAGTTTTCATGGGGTTTATAAACCAATTTATAACTGGGGGGGCCACATTGTACAGATTGTGGTTTATAAGCCATATACAAGTGGGGATATTCACCTATATTAACCTATATATATAATATAATTGGTGATATCTCATATATAAAATGTGTTGGTTGATTAGGGAGATGGAACTATAGATATTAATAGATGTTAGTAGGGTTTATCTGGGTTTATACATCAACTTCAAAGTTGTGGGAGTTCATTGGGTTTAATCGGATTTACAAACTGCTTTACCGCATTACTTGGAGGATTATCCCACAGATTGTACCTGGTGAGTGTTGAAATTAAGACATTCGCAAATGGAACCATATAAATGGGATAATCCACAATGGGACTGAATGGGATTGTTCATGACATTTCATGGGACGAATCTTGAGGTTTAGAATTCACTTGGAGGATCTTATATGGAATATCTAAATAGACTATTTGTTTTGTGATTTTCTATAGGATTATAATGATGATATGTACTGTCCCTTCTCAGAATTGGGAGAACATGGGAGATCCAACATAGGATCTGACCAAAAGTGAGGGAACTTCACTGATTTTACCACAATGTTTAATGCTAAATATGGCTTATGTATATACTCATTTGAGTTGGTTTATCAACATGATATATATATATATTCATCATACAATATAGTCTTGTTGGTGGTTTCAACCCCTCTGAAAAAAAACTACTTTGAGTCAGTTGGGATTATCATTCCCAAAATATGGAGTTACCGTGATACAAACCACAAGTTGAATACATCTCTTTGCTGTGATCTGCACATACCATATGTGCTTACGCACAATCCTTACGCAGCACGTTCTTGACAAAACCCCTTACGCCACCTTGCGCCAACCAGGGTTTTGCTTACGCCAAATGTTCATATGACAGGGCCCTTTTTCCAAACAATTCGAACAGGTTTTTGGGGTCGCTCAAATGTTCAAATCCACCTTGAGCAGTAGTGGGATCATATTCCCATTGCAACTTCAGACCGTGGATCTTCAAATCAATGGCCATTCCAGGATCCTAAATTGGAGGTACCTACCATATATAAGGCCTATTGTTCAGGCCTAAATTTCAGGGAATATCCCCAGAAAATATGGCCTTATATGGTACAGTACCTCCATTTAGGATCCTGAAATTCCCATTGATTCAGACCGTGGATCTTCAAACCGCCTCGTTGCCATGGCACTCTGAGTACGATGATATCAGATCCGGTGGGGCGGAGATGACACGTCTGTCCCAGTTCCAGGATGGCGGTGTTCACCTGAGTCGTGCGCTGTTCGTCGCTACTGGGGGGATGATACACTGGGCTGATATTAATCATGGTTGAGACAAATTGGAATAGTTTATGAATGTTTTTGACAGGATTATATTTATATATATACTGTATATATATGATGTATAGATGTTAGTGATCATTTTGGTCATATTAAAGGGATGGACTGAATTGATTTAAGGGAACATCTACAAGTTTCTTCTTCCTGATTGGGGGTCCATGCCTTCTCAGGCAAGTTTCGTGACATCTGTGTAATGCTGGGCATAAACCCCCAAAGAACTGTACCTTTCGGGCTGGAGGCACCAAATGCTTCCATCCATGTGTGACATTGCCATGCATGGAGAACATCCGAGTACTTCCGAATAGAGGAAACCGGACGGCTGCTCATTACCCACAGGATCCATGTATGCTATATATAGTAACATTTACCATCAATATACCCCAAATGTTAGCATATATATACCATACATGGATCCGTCATGGATTAAAGAGAAGCAAAACACGCGACTCACCAGCATGTTCGCTGAGTCCACTGCTTTCACATGACGAACTCTCTTGGCGGATTCCAATAGCAACGCCAAGGCCCGCCATTGAAGCCACTGCGATACTTCCGATAGGCCCACTGGAAGAATGGAGTTGCAAGGGCCGCATGGCTCAAGCCGCTGATGATTCCACTTCACCATCTGGTTATTTAACATAGCCATGGAAAATCACTATTTTAATAGGTAAACCATCTATAAATTGGCCATTTTCCATGGCTATGTTAAATAACAAGACGGTCAATCACTTCAACTTCTCCGTGTGGAACTTCGACTTCAGAATACCCATGTAGAGCAAACCGAGCCAACTTCATGCTACATCCACAATGCCGAAGAATTTTGGATCGAAAGACCATCGAGACAAGTTGCATCAATACGAAGGGGGCTTGGATAGGGGCTTCAACATCCAATGAAAATATGATTGCGTGCTTAGGTGTCGTTGCAGTGCCAACACAAAAATGCAAATCATGGATGAGCGTTCACGAATATCATCAATTTTGCTATTCAATATTATTATGATCAGAATTCATCTAGAATAGTAAATTATATAATCTCAACTGTTCATTCTAAATCCACTCAATTATTATATATTCTAATAGTATAATCTCTGATTATTAAAATGCAGTTAAATCAGTGGATTTCCTGGGTACTCAAAAATATTTCATCAACTGCCAACGGTGTCCAAATCGGGCAGCTTCTCATGAACGGCCGGGAGGATTGGAAACACCAAACACGGTTAAAAAGGTTAGAAACCAGGGTGATAAACTATTTATAAATACAATTATGGCCATGGCTATTAGTGGCTGAATCCTATGGTTTATAGTAGATATATAACGAACTAGTTAATCGGATAATCATGGGATATTATACAGTGAAATGGCCATGGCTATTAGTTATAACTAGTTATATATTAACCTATGGAATTATACATGAACCATTTTTATGGGGTTTTGTTAGTACCAGTACTTATAACTGGTATATAACTGGTATCGCCCAACAGAAACGTTCCCACAAAATGCCATCTATGTCCAAGTTTCATCCTGGTCTGGCTGGAACAAAGGAAACATCTTCCAGTATTTTGACTATTGGAATGATATATAGTAAATATATGGACTGATATTAGTCACTAATTTATTGGTATAGTAACATCATCCCTCACTTATAACTGGTATATAACTGGTATCTTCCAATATATGCCAACCATCAATCAGTGGTATGATATCGTACCAATCGTCCGTACCAAGAGTTGTACCAATCGTCCGCCACGATAAGCCATTGGTGGTGCATTATTATTGAACCGATGGCAAAGGCCACATACCTACAAGTATGGTTTTGATCAGTTACCATAGATACATCCTCTTGTAACCTTTGACATCATACATTCCACCCTTTCATGATCAAGTCCCCCTTCACCCATTGTTGCAACCCATTTGCTCAAAATCCATGCGCTTGTTGTGTCTTTAAGCTTTAAAATTTTACTGGACAACACGCAATGTTTGTTGGTGTCTTCCCTGTTGTTTGCAAGATGCCCCTACCAGTTAGATGTTGATTTATCAAGCCCATTACCTATAGTTGCAAGTACCATCCCCACAACACGGCCATAGGCTCTTTCCGTAGTTTTCACTTAAACATGGCCCATACTTGGAGGACAATCTCACTCGGCAAGTGGTTCATGACCCTAGTTAGTAAGTTCCCTAAGTGGATTATTACATCTATAAATGGAATATACATCATGGGTTGTAACTCCCTGCTTAGGTGTAAAACAACATCATCCCACTTCAAAAGTGGTTACAAACTATCTAGGGGATGATGTTGCAATAATCACTTTACTAACCGCTTTCCAAGTGGGAAGATGTTGTTTTACACCTGCACCGAAATGCGTAAAGGATTCCGCCAAGTGACCCCATGCTGTCCGAGGCTGCCTAAGGGCCTCCAGTAGAGGATATGTCGGCTATGTCAGATTTCAGGGTGAAACTTTGCATTAGTCTAAGCACTTACAATCTATAAATATATCGAACTACTTACTATGGTTTATGAACCAACAAACATATCTGGGGGGGGGCATCACCTTGAACCCACCATGATACAGGATGGGGCCCAAAAAAGATTGCGTTCAGCTGCCGAACATAAGTGGCTGAATTCTATGGTTTATGCTAGATATACCGAACTAGTTAATGCGGTTTATAAACCATGCAACTTATAACTTGGGGGCACCATCCCGTAACCACCTATAATTTGTTAATATAGGTGGTTGTTAATATAATATATATATAAATTGTTCTTTAACCACCCTGTCAATATATGGTTGGCCATCATAGTGATGGAATGGTCGTGTTTTAAACCGGCCAACACGTCGGATCTTTTTTAGCATCTAGGGATGCAACCAGCTATAAATGGGGATATTTTTTATTGTGGAAAAAACATGGAAAAACAAGGCCCTTCAAGGCCTTACATACTTGGATGAATGGGAGTTTCAGGATCCCAAATTGGAGGTACCTACCATATATAAGGCCTATTTTTCAGGCCTAAATTTCAGGGAATATCCCAACAAAATATGGTCTTATATCCCACATGCTCCATGGTGCTGGAATATTTACCTACATTTGAGCCATTTTTGGGGTAAATGCAGGTAAATATTACAGCACCATGGAGCATCTGGATATGGTACTAACGTACCTCCATTTTACGATCCTGAAATTCCCATTGATTGGATGTGCATCCAACTTAGGATACGATGCCGGGGATGCAACCTGACATGTAAAAACATGCGTAGCGAGCAGCTAGACCCTCAGCTTCCCACGATTTGGCATAGAATACCAACATGCTTAGCTCCAAGATCCAGGTATCAACACACATAAACACAAATGTGCATTTTATATATATATATATACCCTATAGATCCAAGTACCTTCTGAGGGAGTATTTGGGGCATGATTTGGGGGGTAAAGTCCCTTCTCAGCAAGTATTTGGATCCATAGGGATATTATATATATATACATGTGTGTGTGTGTCTCTGAAAATTGGTGTTACTCCTAAATGGCCATTTTGAATCAGTTGAATAAGAAACACATGTGATAAACCATCAATTTTTTGGGATACGCTAATTTCAGACAAACCCATATACATGTGAACAAATATGAACAAATTAGATATTAGCAGCGTAGTAACCAAGCGACATCACCAAGTTTCGCGCCACTACCGTCCCATCTTCCCAGCAGCCAAGAGACACTGTAGGCACCAGAGACCTCACATGAGAAGGTAGAGAAAATAAATAGCTTGGTTGGTGGTTTCAACCCCTCTGAAAAATATGAAAGTCAGTTGGGATTATTATTCCCAATATATACAAAAATAAAAAATGTTCCAAACCACCAACCAGTAACTGTCTGGGAACACTAGCATATGATTACTGGGTAAAAAAGACGGTTCTGGTTCGTAAAATGGGTTAATACCAGTAAAACCTGATGTTTTATTGCTAATACCTTAAAACATATAAAACATCATAAAACACTATTTCTGGTAAACAAAAAAACAACACTGTTGGTAAAACATCATCCACTATCATGGGCATGTTAACCAGTCATGGTCATGTGATGTGATTGCCCTGGTTAAACCGCTGAACAACACCTAGCAGTGTGTGGGATCTTCTCTTCCAAACCTACTGTGGGATGACTGAAACAAAAATCAGCCATGAAAACCCAGAGTTTACCTGGTGCTCGAACACATCAGCACACGACTCTTCGACAAGCAATTGCGGTCAAGGAAATGCAAAAACTGTACAGTTACGTACAGCTGATGTTCAACATCAGCATGCACAATACTGTACAGTTAGGATTATAAGACCCATTAACTATATAGTTATATCTACCATAAACCATAGTTAAACAAGTTATAAGTCAACTTAGCTAACGAACTGGGGCACCACCTTGCAACAAAGTCATCACTAAACAGGGCATCAGTTTATCAGGGCAGCTCCAGCGTCTTGGATATCGATGGCCATGACCCAGGAACCGATTGAGGACGGAGGTACTGATTCCATATATTTTTGGCCTATTCTTCAGGCCTAAATTTCAGGGAATATCTCCACCAAAATATGGCCAAAAAGATGGTACGAACGTACCTCCATTGAATCGGATCCTGGAGATCTCCCATTGATGATATCTTGCTCGGAGATCCCCATGAGTACCATATCCCCAGTTCTTTGGCAACGAAACCTTTCTCAATTCCAGCGTGACGGTCACATCCAAATTCAAGTCCCTTGATATTGAACTGAATGATTTATAGCCCCAAACCAGACTGAAAATGAAAACCGATAGCTGGGATCATTTCAAGTCAGTTCGTTGGGATATAGTTCTACTCAGGCAATTGCTAATCCCAAACTAGAAGAATGAAGGCATTGTTTCATGACACCCCTAAAATAAACATTTTCGCTTGCACACCGACTCCTCATCAGTCCGTGAAGCATTTTCCGCTCAATCTTGGTCTTGGAATTTTACTGGGGCACACCCACCATTCTGAAAGATGACAATGTCTTCACTCCTTGGCTGGATCCATTTGATGGGAGCCCGCTGGGTCCAATGGTGTGCCCTGCATGTCTGGGTCAACTGCGAACTGATGGAATGCCTCTGGTATCTCGACTTGGGCGCCCACTTTACGTGGGCCATATCCAGAAGGGCGACGTCCATCCATCACATGTGCCTTGCAAAAGCCCTGACCCTTTGGAAGTGGTCTCGTCTGAATTGGGGTCTCCGCACGTGTGGCTGTGCGGACGCCTCGCACATTTGCTATCGTACAGAAACACTGCCATGGGTCAAAGTTGTGGAAGCCATTATTGGACGTTGATACTAAAAAACAAGGTAATTCCCGCAACAACACCATCAACCCCCGTTTGGCCATCATGTACCTATACAGTAGTTGGAAGAATCCTGCAAAATGACCCAAATCCGGTGGGTTTTCTGGGCGAACTCAATAGTTCACCGGAAAAAAATCAGAAATTTGGCTAATTATAACCATAAATCCAGCAGTTACAAGTTATAATAACTGGTATAGCAATAACTGATATAACTGATAGCATCAGTTATATCAGTTATAATTATGGCAATAACTGTTATAACTATAGGTTACTGTTATAATTGCTATACTGGCAATTTACTATTTGGCTATAATCTATAGTTGTAATATGTTATAATTATGTTCAGCAACTAAGACTTAGCTAACAGACTGGGGCATGACCTTATGATCTTGAGGATCTTTAAATATGAACCCAGCCCAATATGGGTTTGTCTTAAAAATAGGGCAGCCTATTTGACAACTTGTTTATCAGTAATTGCAATAAATCATCAATGTTCAGATACTTAATCTAGTCTGAGAATAGGGTATGTCATGGTATACCCCCATCATTTTCCCGATTCAAATGCTATTTTTGGTGGTATACCCAATTTTCAAACAAACCCACATCATCCAAGCAAATTATAAGAAATCACAAACCTGAAATAAGGAATAATAAAGCTATATTGGGATAATTCCCCTTACTAATCATGATTCCAGGGTTCGGTCACATTGAGGTCACTATAATTTGCCGAGATATAATACGTCAATGGATTGGTCTAAGGGAAAATCTCAACCGGAAACCATCGATTTTCCCATGAAATATGGGGCTTGAACCTGTAAATTCTCCCGTAAACAATTGATAGATGATTTATCAATGTTTATCCCATTATTTACCCTCTGGTTATTTAACAGTTCGCCATGGAAAATCACCATGTTTCATAGGTAAACCATCTATAAATGGGCCACGGCTTAACCATGGCTATGTTAGTCATAGCCAGAGGGTTTTCAGGGTTTCAACCATCAGAGGTGGTGCTGGATTTCGCAACCATCCACCAGATCACCGGATCGGTCCGGGCGTCTCTTTGGCTTGCACGCAGACTTTGACTCGCGAGGGCCCCGGTCTCGAACCGTTCAGATACGTCACTTCCTCAGTACCGAACGGGTGATGAGAAGAGAAGTGCAGATAAGTGACTGAATTCCATATTAGGTTTTATGGTAGATATCTAATCATATAACGAACTAGTTGATGGGATAATTTTATGGGATATAATAAAAATATAACTATGGTAGATATATAATTGATAATTTATGGTAGATATATAATTATATAACTATATATTATATAGTGAAATGGCCATGGTTATGAAAGTTTGAACTGGTTAATCACCTATGGGATTACAAAACATGTGTAGGATGATCCTTCCACTCCAATGCCCCTGGAGCTATGGCCCAACTAACAGTTTTTAATTTAAATTATAATTCCTATAACCAAGGTTATATATCATTATAAACCTGTATATATATATATACTGGTTGGTGGTATACCTAGCCTCTGAAAAATATAAGTGAGTAACAGATGGGATGATTATTCCCGATATATGGAAAAATCAAAAATGTTCCAAACCACCAACCAGTATATCATTATAAGCCTATTTATATCTTTTTTGGGCCATAACTGTAGTACATGTCTGGGTACCATATTCATGATGTTATCATCCAACTTGGTACCTTAGATTTGTAAATCATGTTGTACATCACCAGAAATGGGTGTAAATTATTGTGATCAATGATGGAGCTTCAGGTCAGGATGTATGGGCAGGCTTTGGAGTAGCGCACCGGCCCAGATACTAGGCCTGGAGCTATCTTGCGGTGGCGCTGGGTGCTCGGCAATGAAAAGCCCTCCGTGCTGCATATGCAGCGCCAGAATCAACAAACACCGCAAGTAGAAAAAAACTATCCGCGGTGAGCTGTCGCAGCTCTTTGCTTGTGAGAATTGGGCAATCCAAAAAGCCTTGCTGCCGACCTCAAGGGCCGTGGCCATGTAGTGGCATCGTCCGATGGCGGCGTGAAGCGCGCCTCGGAGAATGTTTCGCATGGAGGTCCGCAGAGTGTACCTGCCACTTTCCCTTCTTCGTAACAACGGAGAAGGGTTTTCCAGTTCCCTGAAGTCATAGAAAGATCTCCGTACTCGGCTGAGATGGCCGTGTCAAGAGAAAGAACAATGAGTTGAAAAGGCATCTGCTGCACAAACTGCTGCAAGTGTTCATGGAAGTTGTTCTGCCGCCGGCGTCCACTAAAAAGATGCACCAAAAGGAAGACCGGACCTGTATCCAACTGCCTGTAAATGGGGCAGTGCGCAGTCTGAGGCAGAGTGTCCCAATGTCCTTGCCTAATCAACTCTTGCCATTCTGTTTGCTGCTCAAAAAGAGTAGGTATGGGTTGGTTCGGCAGGTGCTTTTTCTTCGCATGTTTGGGCCCCTGTTTCACAGGCAAAGCACGGTGTGGTTGCACAGGTGGATGGGCAGGGTTATGCTTAAGAAAACCCTTATTACAATCGAAAAAAAAAGTTATTACTGTTAATGGACACGAGCCATTATCAATACAGCTAAGATGTTTTAACTCTTTGATAAAGCAAGCAGCCGGACCCTTTTCGTGTTTTAGTCACCAACACAATCTTAATTGCTCATTTTACTGTGCCGTTAGTTGCAATTTTACGTTGCCAATCTTAGATACCCTGCAAACAAAACTAAATTGTTAGCTGGTTAGAACGTATTCCAATTTACGTAGTCAATCTTGCATCATCCACAAACAATTATATACTCTTTTGCTGGTTGTGGTTATCTTCCATTTAGTTCGCAAAAAATGGAGGATTGAACTCACTACCCATCCAGTTGATGTTGAAATCGCAAACGATCAGGTGGTCCAACTATACCCAGGTGACCTAACTTGTGGGATATCCAGTTGGTCGACCTAAATCTCACTGGTAAAACTGAAAAATGTCAGTCCCATGTCCCATCTCCCATTAACATCCATTAACCACATATTAGTAACTACCCATCCACTTGGTTGACCCTGTTTAGTTGCTAATCTTCCAACCTTCAACTCATGGCACGGGAAAAAACTCGAAACACCCAGCGTCGATGGGATTGTTTTTCCGCCGGATTGACACTTTCGCCTGGCAACGACATGTGAAACGTCACCTGGAAATGATGAAATGGAAACATGCAGGAAAATAACCATGAAATTACCAACAAATACTGCAGCTGAACAAAAAAATTGACATTAATGACACATATCTAAAAAACACGAACTTTCATGGTGGTGACAATGAAACAATAATATTCATTGTCATGGCTACAATAAAATTTGGGGATGAAAAATAATGATGAAACCATTGAATTCCTACCCGCGAAAACTGGCAATAATGTGTGTATATATATATATTTATTTATGTATAGAGTATAGTGCTTGTTGAACTTTTCAACTACAAAACGCTGGAAACAAACGATAAATATGTTCTTAACTGTTTTAATAAATATCCATAAATCAAAAGAACAACATATTTGTGGGTGCAACATGCATTTTTGGATATTTGAATCTATGGGTATCACTCAGAAAACACACACATGTTATATAGTTCATAAACAAAAAGTTAATTACTATACATGGAACAAACAACTAAACTGGTATGGATCTGTTGCAAAAATAATAGTACAACTGAATTCTTGAATCTGTCGATGCTAGAACCTGTTTGCAGTGTTGAATCTAGTATGGTTGATAATCCTTAATTGCGATTTGGAATCATTGCATGTGGTGGGAGAAATTGTTTGAATGTAACATGACTGACAATCTTTCAACATAACTACACTTTCTTTCAAACGTTCCCTTAAAATCCTTCAAAACGGGGGTATCCCATACTGTACTGGATGGATTTCTGAACCAATCCTTACATGCAACAAATGCAACAGGATAACCCTGATCTGCGGTGTTTTAAGAAACACATATATGGAGCGTACAATGGGATACACATTGCAATGGTGTTAATTTCAGCTCAGCCGCAGCCATTGATAACGTTTGATCACCTTCCAGTGAATATTATAATTAGATATTAATCATCAACTACCCTCTGGTAAACTAACATAGCTATGGAAAATCACCATGTTTAATGGGTAAATCAACTGTAAATGACCATTTTCAATAGTTTTTTGTATGTTTACCAGAGGGTAACCATAGAATTCATCATTTGCAACTCACCTTGAACAGTCGCTGCCCGGCCTCCTCCAGGCATTTGGAAAACAGACGTTCCAGTGGATCATCTCCAGACTGCGCTTGTCGCGCCTACGGCGAACGAAAATGGAAAGCGAAAACGCCAAGAAGTTTTAGCGACATAAGATGTACTTAACCATCAGGAAAAACTATATATATATATATACATATGTACACCAAATACATGTATATATATATAATATTGAATAATTTAAACAATATTCAATACATTCTATAATATTGGTTGGAAACATTGTGTTCATTTCTGCAGAAAACTTGAAAGGGACCAAAAGGCTTGGGAATTGAAACGACCCTTGATGCATGCTCTCTGAAATTTGGCCTTGGTTTGGTCAGTTGTTGTTTCAACATCCACCATGCCCTTACACAATCCACTCGCAGATAGAGATGTTTCCTCCGAGTTTTCGATAGAAAAACAAATTTGGGGAACTGATGCATTCTTCGTGCATCCCATGGTAATGTGTTGTGTATCTGTTTTTCAGTTTGAATGTCCCCTTCAAACAGTTGCGTCAGACGCCCCGCAAATCTCCCCACATGTCATTATCCAGATTTGATACATTGATGGTCCCGGTACAGAAGTTATATTTGCATGGATGATTGTTCAGTAAAACGCTTTGCCTTTGTTGTTTGTTTTGTTGTGGTTGTGGTTGTGGTTATTGTGGTTGTTATTGTGGTTGTTATAGTGGTTGTTACTGTGGTTGCTATTGTGGTTGTTGTGGTTGTTGTTGTGGCTGTTGTGGTTGTTGTTCTTATTGTTGTGGTTGGTTGGTGGTTGCTATTGTGGTTGCTATTGTGATTGCTATTGTGGTTGTTGTTGTTGTTGTTCTTATTGTTGTGGTTGGTTGGTGGTTGCTATTGTGGTTGCTATTGTGGTTGTGGTTGTGGTTGTTGTTGTTGTTGTTCTTATTGTTGTGGTTGGTTGTTGTTGTTGTTGTTGTTGTTGTCTTCTGTCGTTCCAAACCCGTTGAGGCTTGTGGGTGTCGATCTCTATGTCTCATGCGTCCGGTCCTATCCAATTTTGTGTTGGTGATGTCCCTGTGATTGCCGCTTCCATCCATTTTGTGCACATAAGATGAGGCTACACATCCATCTTTTCTGGTCAAGACCAAAACGTTTGTCCACATGTGCAGTTTCTTCTATACCACATTGCACAAAAAAATGCTACAATCACTCTGTGAAGCCAATCAAAATATGTAAACATAACATTTAGGTCTAGGTTGCTTAACAATCATATCACCCAACACTAAAGTTACTATAGTTAATTAATGATTTTCCAAAATGATGATACACTTTCAAGTACCAATGGTTATTACATGTATGGCCCTTAATGCAGTTATCAGTCAGTGCCATTTCTGGAATGAGAACCCCATTTGTAGCCATTTATAAACTTAATGGCCATAACTTAGAACTGTAAACACTAGATATACACCAGTAACACCATCAAAAACCATCAACAAAAAACCATCTATTAGTATTACCATTACTGTAATACCATTAAATAATAATTAATACTATATATCTATGAATATCCATTATCCATTAGTACTACTACTATATAAACATCAAATAACCATTGTTTATAGGTCAATCACCATTGTTTATAGGTAAACCATCTATAAATGGGCCATCTATACCATGGCTATATAACACATAGCCAGAAGGTAGTAAATGGATGGTACTAATGGTTATTATTTGATGTTTATATACCATGAATTAAACTTGATGGTACTTATGGATGGTACTATATTTACATTAGTAATACCATTACTGGTTGGTGGTTTCAACCCCTCCGAAAAATATTAGCCAGTTGGGATGATTCTTCCCAATACATGGAAAAATAAAAAAGTTCCAAAACACTAACCAGATTAAATAACCATTAGTACCATCCCAAATCCCACCACCGTTTGACGCACGCCTTGCGCAGCAGCAGCGCGGTGCCGATGCCGCCGGCCGTCAGCAGACCGGTGCCGGGCATCACGAAGGCCACCGCCAGGCCGCCCTTCCTGGGATCCACCGTTGCCACGGGCGGTGCCAGGTGAACCACGAAAAAAAACGGCCAAAATGGCTGGGTTCATATGGTTTAAACTGGTTTTATATGGTTTTATGATGTGTTTAACTTGCTTATATAAAGGTAATGATGGGTTTTAAAGATGTTTTATGATGGGTTTTAGAATGATCTGGGATGGTTTCATTGGGTTCCGAAGTCAGATCCCCAATAGTTAGTATTACCCTCAGGTAATATGTTACATAGCTATTGACAAGGGTCATTTATAATTGATTTATCTATGGAAAGTGGAGATTTTCCATAGCTATGTCAGTTTACCAGAGGGTAAGCATGCTGAAAAAAATGAAATCGTTAAATAAAGGGACATCCACATCTGAAGGAGACATGGTCGTTCATTGGTCCTTGGGCTGAAATTTCATCAAAAGGCTGCGGTGCCTCAAGAGTAGGTCCTTGGCACCCATCTGGTATACTTTATGGCCCCATTCGACAAGTCAAACAAATCAGACCCTTCAAATTTATCTGGTTGGTGGTTTGAAGCCCTCTGAAAAATATAAGTTCGTCAGTTAGGAGTATGAAATTCCCAACTGAATGGAACATACAATTTATATTCCAAGCCACCAACCAGCTATATATTACTAAGACTATATCCTATATGCGTGTTATCCCAGTCCCAGCCCGCCAGCAATTAACCACTATCCATGAGATGAACCTCCAAGCGATAAAGAGAAACATTAGAAATTCAGGTTTTACTTGTCCTAGCTGGACGTGTCTACCATGTGTAACCAAGAAAGATTTGCATCAGGCTAACTCCTCACATCTTTTTCAAATCGCAACAGCAAACTCCATTGGGAGAACGGCTGGACCATGTCTGCGAAGGTGGCAGCGGGATTCGCCTGCCACATGGCGGACAACAAGAGTCCGCCTGCATGGCAAAACCACACGAACACGTCCCAGCGGCGCCGCCAACTCTCGCGCCACGCGCTGATGGGTATCGGAGACCAGGTCAGATCGACGTGTCTTCAAGCAAAGAACTTCACACCCAGCCAAGCTCCTGCATGTCAGCATCACCGCATCGCCTTCACAAACAAAGTTCATTTGCAAAACACGATCTTGGATTTGACGTTGGGAAACAAGAGCAGGATTGAAAATATACCGACGACTGGCGCTTGCAATAGTCAAAAGTTCACGCCAAGATTTCAGAGATGGAATCTTGCATTGTCCGGCATTGTTCGACCCGAAAGCTACTACACTCCCATCGCTGCGAAGAAGTACTGTGTGACCACATCCTGCGGACACTTGAGTATATGACAATCCTTCGTCCAATGGTGAAATGTTGCATTGTCCGTTATCGTTCAGTCCGAAAGCTACAGCACTGCCATCACTGCGAAGAAGTACTGTGTGATGACTGCCTGTAGAAAGTTGGGTGTATGAGACTCCTTCATCCAATGGTGAAATGTTGAATTGTCCGTCACTGTTCAGCCCGCAAGCTACAGCACTGCCATCACTACGAGGAAGCACTGTGTAAGCAACACATGCAGCAGCTTGAGTATATGACACTCCGTCATCCAAAGGTGGAATGTCGCATTGTACAACATTGTTTTACTTCCGCAAGCTACAACACTGCCATCGCTGCGAAGAAGTACTGTGTGATCGCAGCCTGCAGAAACCTGGGTGTATGTGTGAAACTTTACTAGTGAACTACCCCCAAATGAGTAGCGCACGTGGACGGGCACTGAGTGAACAGCGCCGCCACCCAATCCACAGAGCTAAAAAGCCCTGAACAAATACCAAAAGACCCGCCAGTAATCAACCCCAAAACAAAAGGGGGGAAACCCAGGCCATCGCAAACGACATCAACAGTAAATCATGCAGGGATCAGCATAGCACGTTAAGAGCCATGCCGAAGTTCCCAAATGGTTCGCTGCACAAAAACAAGCCAAGCATGAACACGATCCATGTCAGCATCCACACGAGAAATGACCCACCCAAACCGAGCCACAAGAAACTCACCCGGCTTGGGCGGGATATCCATGTTGCATGGACGACAAGGACAAGACCAAGCAATATGGTCAAAACTGCCAACGTCATGACAACCAGGCCAAATACAAGTGTCAGCAACATCAAGATTTTGGGCACTGTGCAACGCAGCAGGAGAAAAAGAACCCCCTGTCGCCAAAGCACGCGCCTCCGGCCCAGAAGCCGCAAACTTCCGAATACCATCCCAATCAATTCTGTGAAACAAACCGTTTTCAAAGCAATCAAGATTATTGTCCCGCCGAGTGGATTGACAATGTTTGTTAAGACACCAAGCGCGCCAAGCAGTACGGACCACATGTTGACGAGCACCGGCAGTATCAACGACAGTAAAATCAAGAACAGAACGCGACAAAGCATGACTCCATTTCCAGTCAGCGTCACAGATCCATCCATGAGAACAAAGCCAATCCTTCAACGCGCGAGCAGGCGTTCCAGACACAGAAGACCAAGTCAAAGCCCTCCTGCGCTGAACACGAGACAGAATTCCAACCAACTGAGTAGCAAACAACACGTCCAAGTGAAGCCCACCACCGAAAAGAGCTGCCCGAAGCCAGACAGAGGCGCTTCGCAACCGCCGACTACCCATGTGCACACACGAAAAAAGGGCTTTGCACAACGTCAAAGGAGGAGCCCTAGCAATCCACCCATAAGCCACTTTAGAGACAGCAAAGCTCCGACAGGCACGCATGTAAGGTTCAAACGGCATACCGATACAAGCAAGCAAAGTCAAAACCCGCTTGCACGCATTCACACGTTCCAACTCCTTGGGCATCAAGCCACGACAAGCAACCATGCTACAAGAACCAAGCAATTCAGTATTAGTGGCAACGTAGTCCGGCCAATGTTTCCGAAGAGTGGCTCTTCGTGCCGGCGTGGAAGCAACCACCACAGTTTTTTGTTGATTTTCAAGCAAGCCAACCGAAAAAGACCAAGCGCACCAAGCATGGAAGCGTTCCATGAGAGCCCAAACCCGCGGGCCAACAAAAGCACGGTCATCAACAAAGACGCGAGACAAAATTGAATCACGACTGTTGCAAACACTTTCAACAGACGCCCAACCGCCCCAAGTCCACAAAGCCATCACCAACGGGCCCAACGGATCCCCTTGAGGCATGGCTGGCGCCACAGGGGTGCGGGTGACATGAGTGTGAACCCCAAAAGAAACCCAACGTTCCTGATGAAGCCAAACCTTGGTAGCAACCTCAACAAAGCTGGGATCCCAGCCCAAATGAATCATGAGGGCTTTGGTGACGCTGGGATCAAGCAAATCGTAAGCTTTGGAATAATCCAAGCTAGCAAGGTAACCCCCAGCCATCAATTTATCCAAAAGATCAACAACGACCTCCCCAGTAGACACAGCATGAGCAACAGCAAAATGTCGCGGCACATGTTGCCGCATCCACTCACGCAAACAGCCTTTGGCCCAAGCGCTAGCCCAGATTCGCCACCAGACCGACATCACAGTGATGGGCCTCAAATGTTTAACTGAGATCTGGTTCAAAGCATTGACCTTACCAGGCTTGGCCAAAGAAATCATCCTACTTTCAAAAAATTGAGCGGGCACATTGCCGCTCAACATCCAACGTTTGCCAAGGACAGCAAACACTGTGAAGATTTCAAAAGGCAACAAAGCAACTTCACGCGAAACCCAGCCATCCGGCCCGTGACTTCCTTTCCCATCAACAGCGATGGCTCGGAGACATTGGGCGGTAGGTGGTTCCCAAGAACAAGCAGCGCTAGAAGGAAGACCCGCAAGCATGGAAGCAACGCGGTCCGACAAACTAGGTTGACGTTCACGAGCTTGATTCCAGAAATCAACCCAATACCCATGAACTGCTTCAGCAGCTTCCACATCAGATTCAGCCAAACACCCGTGCAGATTAATGACTGAGACACCAACGGGAGTTGAGCGATTTTTGAGCCACCGCGACAACTCAGCACCCGCAGAGACCATCTGGCGACGCCAACGGGTGATGTTGGCAGCGCGAGCAGACTCTTCAAGCCTACGCAAATCACCCTGAATGGTAGCGATATGCTCGAGGACATGCCGCAAAGACAAATTATCACCAAAGACTTTGCTCAACTGCCTTTTGAGGGCAGCAAGCTCCATAGCCTGAACAGCCGACAAAATTGAAGTCAAACTGCGAGACAGCAAACGTTTATATTGAAAGCACCGGGCCAACAACCGCCGCTTCTTCCTAACAGCAAGTTCACCAACATGATGCCGGACACCAGCCTGGGCGCAAGAAGAACGCTTATACACGGCAAGCTGGCCCTTCCAAACAGGTTGACGCGCCAAACGCGAGCACATAGATCGAACCTCAAACGAAAGCAAGCCCACCTTGCTAAGCCAATCATATGCATCCAAAATGCAACACGTAAGCAAGTGTTGAAACCGATCCCACTCTTCTTGAACAGAAATGTCAACAGTAGTTTCAAGATGAGCTATGAAAGCCTGTATTTCAACATTGTCATTCCAACAAGCCAAAATGGCCTTTTCCCACAAGGCACGGTCAACACCATGAGGACAAGCCAGCTGCGCAGTGCGAGCCAAAGACCCCAATTTGACCTGATACCCAACATGATTGAGATTCAAGGAAACAGGGATATGATCACTCAAGGCAACAGAAAGAAGGACAGGCTTCTCACACACCAAAGGGCGGTTAGTGAGAGCCCAATCCACGCATCTTTCGCTTTCCCATCTCGTGGGTTTGCCAACAGACACAGCAACGCCACCGAAAGCAGAAAGCGCAATTTCAACTTTACTCGACCCAACAAGTTCATTGAAGTCACCAAAAACCAACCAAGGTTGAGAAGAAGGAACAGATGTAGAGAACCATTCTAACAACCCAGAGGCAAGTTCAAGCACTGGCTCATCATTGTAACCAGGCGGAGCATAGGCAGTAGCCAAGAACCACCCTTCCAGCCACACACCAACGCACTGAGAATCCAAGCCAGCAAACGAAAAAGCCGGACGGATCTTAAACTGAAGGCGCACAAATAAGGCCACACCACCACGCTGACGAACCGCATCCAAAGGTGGAATGTCGCATTGTCTGAAATTGTTCCATCCGCACGCTACAGCACTGCCATCACTGAGAAGAAGCACTGTGTGATGACTGCCTGCAGAAACTTGGATGTATGACATTCCTTTATCCAAAGGTGGAATGTTGCATTGTCCCCAACTGTTGTCTCCGCAAACTACGACACTGCCATCACTGCGAAGAAGTACTGCGTTAAAATCGCCTGCAACAACCATAGCTGGAAGACCTTTGCCTCCGCGAAAGTGTAACACGAGTTGTTTTTTTGGGCCAAAGGCTCTGGTGCATTCATCATATCCTAAGATTATCACTAACCACTATCATTTTTCATCATCCGGGCAAGATATCCAATCATGACATCCCACTGTATGCCCATCGTACATTTGTGGTTTTCATCTAGACTAGATTCTTGTATTATCTATGTGCTACGGCCATATCCAGTCAACATTTCCCATAAATATGATTAAATATACAACTATAATGTATATGATAAATGGTATATTATTTATTGATTGCTATATTAGTATCAATATCACACAACAATAATTAATATAAATATAAATATGTCAATCCGCACCATGTTTCATGATCAAATCAAACCCATATACCCTCTGGTAATCAGCTTCATGGTTTGCTGCAAAATCCCCCAGCCATACTTTGATGCTCCCAGTGTAACTTCCATTTATAATGGAAGTTCCAATGTTTTCCCATGATTTTCCCATGATTTTCCTATCTTTTCCCATATTTTCCCATGGTTTCCCCAGTAAAAACACGATGAAAACTTCCATTTTTCGATTCGCCAAGGTGATTTCCCAGCCGCAACCGCCGTAACGCCAAGGTTAGGGCACTGCGCAGGCGTCAGCTTGTGCCCCTCCAGGTCAAACATCCTCCGGAAGAGCGCAGGCAGTCCTTAGGACGGAGTGACTACGGCGCGTGGGAAAAACGTTCAATGGGATCAGCCGAAGATCCAGTGATTAATAGTGGTTAAATGGGGTTAATAGTGATAGTGATTAATATGGGGTTAATAGTTGTTAATAATGATTGATAGTGATTGATAGCCGAAGGGCCAGTGATTAATATGGGGTTATTAGTTGTTAATAATGATTGATAGTGATTAATATGTTGAGAATCATTCCACCTATAGAAACCAATTATTACAAGTTGGATTATCAACCGGTTGAACATCCATTCACTAGCTCGATATACCATAAAGCATAATTAGCGTACATGTGAACTAACTTAGCTCTCGTTTTTGGGGCCCCACAATGTGTATAATATATATATATATAATTATATATAATATATATATATAATTATATATATAATTATATATATAGTATCCAAGGGTTATAGTGGGATTAATTATTAGTACCATTATATGTGAGTTTTATGAGTACCATCATGATTACTAAAATGCTAACCAATATATAGTGAACTCACAATGTTCAGGGGCTTTTTTGGTGGGAACAATCAAAATAATTCCATGATCATCAAAAAAACGTCAGAAAAAATGATGTTCGTTTGAAGTATCGCCAAACCAACTAGCTTCATGGGAATATTAAAATAGAATGAATGATGGTCCCCCAAGTTTGCAGATCCTTTTTCTGAAGGCTTGGCGCCATGGTGGAGTGCTGGACAGATGCCACTGGAACCTCCTGCGACGGTATGGCGAATCCAAGGTCCTCATGCCATACCCCATTCTGCTTTCCTCCGAGAGGTGTAGGACTCCAGGATGGATTGGCCGCGAGTGGCCAGCCCTCAACCAGGTGATGTCCAACCGAAAAGCTCCTCGACTATTTGGGGATATGCTGGGATTAATATGGAATATGCACCATGCTTTTATATGGGATATAACGGGATTGATATAGGCAGAAAAAATAGCAATGACAACAGAAATAACTATGTCAATAACCAAATCAGTCATAAACATTGTAACAAATGGCTACAGAATTTCAATAAAGCCAAGATATACTTGATTTACAATTGCAGTTTGACCCGTCATCATAGGGGGGAGACATATCGGTTGTTATGGACGAAGTTGAGCCATCACCTCGAGTGTGTCGCTGGGATAGTCCAGCCTTGGCCGTCTTACCTGAAGCGGTTGCACAGTGAACAGGACGTGCAGATCGAATTTGAGGACGAGAAAGGTATGGACGGCAACGGAACGGCAACGGAACGGCAACTAACGATGGCACGCCCGTCCATTCTTCAAAAGTTTCTCTAAATCGTAGATGAAAAATTTGGGCACGACCATCTTCAGGTGAGTGGCAGATGTATGTCTTCTGACATAGAAACATTCCCAGCGCGCTCCAGCATTTCTTCCTACCCCTCTGAAAAATATGAGTCAGCTTTGCCAATGTGTCTATTTGCCAATGCGCAGCTTTGATTTGTTTACATGTACTTAGTCCCCATGTGGAATTGCCTCCAAATGCGCCCTTTTCGATGGACATGTTAATAAGAAAAACTTAAGATAAAACCATGGAAGACATGTATCCTATTCTTATACAAATCCATGTTTGCGATTGTAGTAAAATCTGAATAGCCCTGGGCCCCTGCTGTGGTACGGGTTAGAAATCGCCATTGTATTGTCTAACATCACTCTACAGGACCACAGGACACCTTCTCCAATTATGAGTTGGTTTGTAAAACCATCCATGTGCACACATAACCAGCAACAATCCAATAAACTTAGCCTACACCAATTGCACATCCATGGTTTTGTCATGTTTTGTCGGTCAAATCCGTGTTTTCCTAATGTATTTCGATCCCTGTTTGAATCGCCGCGGCTGCCCGCGGCGGAAACCCAAGCATCGATTGGTGGACACCAGCGCATCACGCTTGCTGCCGCCCAGGTGATCAGCAGGCAAGTACTGCAGCTCTTGCTGGAAGTCACCTGGGCGCCGTCTAGGAGATGTCCCATTGCCGTGGTTATTTTCTTTGGGATTTGTGGTGATTTACCATGGGATTGATATTGTTTCTATAAGATATATATATATATATATTAATATTATATTAATATAGAATTGACTGAGATTTACTATGGGAAACCCAATCAATTTGTAGCCGATTACTATGGGATTTTGTTCCGGATGTATGGTGATTTATGGTGATTTCTATAAAGTGGTTCAGCAACTTGAGATGATATTTGAGTTTGAGTGCAGTTATGGCCATTTATATAAGTTATAACTGGTTATTTCAGTGGAATTATACATGTTATAAATGGGGTTTTCTTAGTACTTATAACTGGTATTTCGGGCCATAACTGTGAAAATGTGGGATACCCCCCAAAAGCCCCAAAAAGCAAAAGTTTGATATGGACATATGACTGAAATTCCATTGGAAGTGGGGGTACACAAAGAAAAACACACGCCCATGGGAATTGGGTTGCGTAAGCACAATGGGAGGTTCCAATTATGATTGTGGATACAATGTGATGCTCCCAAACGTTATAAATTGGTTTATGAACCCCATGAATACAAGAGTTATTTGCGTACCATAAACCACGGTTATTGGAGTTATTTGCACCAACTTAACTATCGTTTGAGGGCAACACTTTGTAAGTTGTTGCTCTTTTTTCGAAAGGTAATGGGGATGCAAATAATATGGGATAATGATGGTTAGTCAATAATGGGATAATAGGACAGTTATCGACCATAATATGGTCGATAACTGTCCTATTGGGATGTAGTGGTCATTTTTCCAACTAGCATGGGACAATGTGGGGCGCCAAAACAGGTTTCTGACGGTTTAAAAGACCAACAACTAACTAGGATATGTCTACTGTTCAATTAGTGTATCAACATTTTTTAACATTCCCCACCCAAAAATAAGTCTGTCAATGTGGGGTGAGTCATCGTAAGGACAAACATCATTGAAACGACACGTTATTTTTATCGATCATATTTTAGTCATATCCATGTTCTTTCACTTGCAGCCCCACTTCTTGTTGGTACAATCTCTGGTTGCTCAACATACCAACACAAATTCAATTGCATGTCCTTGATGTATGCCAATGCTGCTTTCCTCCAACCCAAACAGGGTATGGATTAAAACGAGTAATCCCTGAAAAGGGATCAAGTTTCGATGCTCAAAATGATGAATTTAATTGAATTTACCCTCTGGTAAATTAACATAGACCCTGAAAATAAGCCATTCTTAGTGGAAACTAATATCTTCCAACCCCTGTCTGGCAGGGTCTATGTTAATTTACTGGAGGGTAATTTAATTTAATTTAGTATTTTAGCAGGTCCATTAGCCAAGAACCAATCAACCATTCCTGATAATTAACCACTACTAATCCCATGAATTCCGAAGTAGTGTCCCCATGAACAAAAATATCCTTTCGGGTGGCGCTGTTCGTTTCTGCGTGGTGTTCGAACAGTCAAAATCCCATCCCCTTATTAAACAAACCCAAACAAAACCATGGTTTAGTAGGGACATGTCCACATACTTTAGAAACCATACAATGGGGGTGTTTAATATTCGGGTGATGGGATTATGATGGTTCATTGGCCTCCGAAAATTGTTTTCTTTGCGGCATTTTGAGGAGAGTGCAAGCCAATTGATATACTGAGTTGATAGCCCTGGGTGGTGGTTTCAACCCCTCTGAAAAATATGAGCCAGCTGGGATGATTATTCCCAATATATGGAAAGTCATAAAAATCATGTTCCGAACCACCAACCAGTATCCCTGGTTCGTTGTCTAACATCTTCCACTTCAACCAAGAATTTATGGTCGGTTGATTTCCCGCGTGGGTTCTTCTCGTAATTCAGCCACACTACCTCGAAACCCATCCTGAGACATTTGTTTGGGATTGTTAGGGTATTTCCAGGTCCATGTTCAACATCAAAGACTCAAGATTTTCCCAGTTCGATGGATCCAGATCCATGGAAAATGTCGTGCCCCCAAGTGAAAAGTTGCTTTAAAAAACCTGCATCAAGTGATAAATATCATGATATATCTATCTATCATACACCCTAGTTAGCCCTAGTTCTTAGAGTTACAAACCAGCTCAAGTAACTATGGGGTAGCACCCTCTATTGGTCATCAATCCCCCAAAATGCCTTTGGCCAAGGGCACGTTCGACGCAGGTTTGCACTGCTGCCAGATTTTGACACCAGGCTTCATCTGGTTCCATTCCAACCTGTGGCATGCACAAAATAGTGAGTAGGGAAGGAACTTGGAGAAACCTAGCAGGAAACAATCACAAAATCGTGGGTTAAACTAGGGAATTTTTGGTAATCAAACATAGTCAATGGTCGTTGTTAGTGGATTTCCTGGCGATTTTCACAATTCCCCATACCAATATATTGAGTAGCATAAGCTACTACAATCATCAATCAACTGTTTTTGCTTGAATTGTTCACTTAAGAATGGTACTGTGGATGGAAGAAATCATGCACGGTGCAGGAATTCTTCCACCCACTGTATGTTATATGAAAATATGGTAGATCTAAGGGATTCCAAAAGTCAGTATATTTACCTCAACGAATGGGTGATGTTTGTTGTACATCACGTGGGGATGTCAACTATCTATGAACAAAATGGGGAATATGGGAATTTTAGTGATGACTGCTCACATCATCGCGGAATGAAGTTGATGGCTTAATTGGGATATGATGGAGATACAGTCAGAATATAAGCCAGTTATTGTAGCGGGTTGTAATTGGAACACAATGTTAAATTATATGACATGAAAAACCATATAAATAATAAATATAAATTTAATTATGTATTAACAAATCACCTGACATATTGTCGTTCCATCATACATTCCAAGGAATATTGAGCTGGGATAAAAACATACTACCAATCTTCAAGTACATACCCTGCAAACAACTGGTTTGTAAATATATCAAATATATACATGCGTCCAAAAGATGTCGCCAAAACAAATGTTCGAGACTCTACTACAAAAAGTGGATTTTCTAAATATATCCCAAAATATGTTCATTAAGTTGCCATATTCTTGTTGGTGACATACCCTCTGGTAAGCATACCAAACACTATGGAAAATCACACTTTTTCATGGGTAAATCAACTATATATAAATGGCCATTTTCAATAGAAAACTGTTTGTTTACCAGAGGGTACCCCGATGTTTGCTGCTCAAACGTCTATGTTCGATGCAAAAAGAACCGAGAAGGTCGACCCCAAACACCCAAAACCCATCGCTGTGCTGCTGCAGTTCCGCAAATATGCAGGTTGTATTCCAATGGGGGGGTTCAGTCCCATGGCTATACCCATTGATGACTGCAGACTGCAGCCCCAAGCAGGGTTATACATCTACACATATATACCCATGATAAAAAACAACAAATTGCTGGATATAACCACTCAGGTCACTCACCAAAATCACCCCAACAGCACCCCAACGCGCCGCCGGCTGGGGCTTCCCGGCATGTGGATAGACCACCTTCGCAAAGCAGAACAAGGAGTTGCACCTCGGGTGAGGCCATGACGCCGGGACCATGTCACCAATGACGAGCAGAAATATCTTGCAGCTGGTTGTATCCCGCTTAGATTCTTAGATGTTATCCAATCAATGGAACCAAACATCGTGGGAGTAAAAAAATCACCGATTCAAAGGGTTTTAGGAAAACTTAACCAATGGAATAAAATCAATGGCGATACATTGGCACATGCTGTGACTAGAACCATCAATTGCGTTTACTGGAAATGTAATCCCGCGACACTCTTTGGATGAGAACGCTGATTGCCGGCCCATGGGTCACCATTATCACTCAGGTAGTAGAATATGGTCACAAACTGTACCGGCACCTCTTATAGTCTGCAACCTCTTAAAATTACAATACTTAAATATGTATCATGCTATGATATATATATATATATAGATACATATTGTTATGTAATGGTTCATCTTGATTTATACTATCATAAGAATGACCAGTATGTATTACATACTATAGTAATGTCAAATGTTACAGTATGTGTGTAGTAAATATTGGTATATATATATAAATATTGATATTAAAAAAAAACACAATATATATATTTATATTTATTTACACATATATGGGTTTGTCTGAAAACAGCGTATCCTCAATTCCAATATATATATATATTTTTTTTCACTTCGACTCTTAAAACGGCTATTTGTGGCTACCCAGTGTTCACTAGATTAAATGGATATACCAATCATTTAATCATAAACCTAGCAGTATTTGAACAATGTTGGATTATGATTGGTATATGAGTAGTTCATTTCCCACATTGATTCGTTTATGAATGATTACCCACAATGTGGTGCCCCCTAGTTATAAATTAGTTTACAAACCCCATGAATACTATAGTTATGTGCGTACCATAAACCACAGTTATTGGAGTTATTTGCACCAACTGAACTATCATTCGGGGGCACCACTTTGCAGTGTTCATTTGATAAGCCAGTCGAAAGGGGATGGCATCGTGGCTTCATGTGGCTTCAATCCCATCAGAAATGGTGACGACCTGGGATGGTGCGTTTATGGCGGTTTACCCAATTACTTACTGGTGCGTTTTACGCAGGGAATTTTCGGGAATGATCCATTTCATCACTATCAATAATAATCCCAGCAACCCCCAGCAACGCCCAGCAACCCATCCATTCCCTACGTTTATCACCAGTAAGATTATTCCCAATGGTCAATAGCTATTCGAAAACATGGGAGAAACATGAGAGAAATATGGGACAATCATTGGACATTTGAGAATATGTATGACATAAATTACTTTTTGAAAGTACTATGGTTGAAAGTCATATAGATCATATAACCACTAAGGTCACCCATATAAATACTAGATAGAATTACTTTATAGTGTGTTTTTAATGGGTTCTATGGTTGAAAGTGCCCCACAACATCCCAGGTGTGATGCTAACCCGCCAACAAGTCCATCCCATTCCACAAAGTGGTGCCTAATTTCACTTGGATTTATGGTAGCTATTGGAAGAGATATCTATAGGTACTATGGTTTATAAACCACCTACAGGTAGATCTATATATCTATCTATCTCTCTTTCTTTCTTTCTTTCTTTGTTTCTTTCTTTCTTTCTATCTTTCTAGTCTATCTTTCTAGTCTATCTAATATATCTATCTAATCTATCTATATCTATATCTATCGATCTATCTATCGATCGATGGATCGATCTATCTATCTATCTACCTATCTATAGTTACCATGGTTTATAAACCAACATTCACATCACTGGTGGTGTAGCTCCTTGCATCTGCCCTGTTCTGATATATCTGCCCCTGTTAAGTCAAGAGACAGCAACAATCCAGCCGCATAGAAGGACAAGATTGCTTCCCGGGAACCGCTCAATATCAAGAGCAGTTGACCTCAGAAAGGAGAGTGGAGATCCACCGATCCATATTGACGCATGGTACAGCTATGGCCCAAGTTATACCAGTTATATAAGTACTAACAAGTCACCCCATCTATGGTTCATGTATAACCCCATATAAATAACCAGTTATAGCTAATAAATGGCCATAACTGTCTTACTGTATACCCCCAACTTCAGTGCAGCCAAAAAAAAGTTCACTTTCAACAATAAGCACTACTTTCTTTGAAAGTACTCTGTCCTCCAAGATTTGTGATATGAAGGGGCTCGATTTCCATGGGCGTTTGATGAGCCAGCCACAAGCGTGTGCTCTATCCCGCCCGATGAACTGAGCCTTTGCACTTGGGCTCTGGGCCACTGTGGGTTTGAAGCGGATCTGCACACGGATCCACACCATAAAGTTGTCATTGCTCAGCTGCTTCCGCCAATGTTGTGGTGACTCCGAGGCCAAAATGTTCCCTTCTTTGATAGGTAAACATGCCCTCACACATGGACTTAGAGGGTATCCCTTTCTCAGAAAAACATAGTTCCTGGGTTATGCTTGATAATCCCGAAAGAAGGTCTCTGTAGTGTGGGCACCCGCAGCTATACATTGATCTCTCCACTAAAAATCATGACAAATCCATTGTTAGCCAAGTTGCAGAACCACTTACCTTGTGGTTTGAGGGCCCCGCATTACTCACAGGATCTGATAAAACATTTTGGGTAACGGCAGCCTGTCCACAGATCCAGGCATGCCCATGATGCCCCTCAGGAAATCGCCGGCCAATTCATCTTGCGCTGTTTTTTGGGCTTCCCGAAATTAGGTCGTCGACTAGTAATACCCCACAGTGGCCATATATTACATGGCGTGCTAAAACCAAGTCGTTGAACACCTCTCTCACAGATCTATCGTCTCAGAATGGGATCCAAAAGGATCTCACACAAACATGAGACCTACCTGTCGGTAGACTAACATAGCTTTGGAACATCAGCGTTTTTTGCTAGGTACATCATCTAGTATTGTTTCATTTTGTATCGCTACTTTCGTCTACTGGACCGTATCCGTTTTAGCGCTAACCCCTTTGGGGTTCCCGGCATGATCCTGGAATAACTTCATGAAGTTGTGTGTTGTTATGATCAAAGAAAAAGAGAGACTAAGGTTGATAAAATCAAACTTGTTTGCAGTGACAAATTACTTGTCTATGTTCTTACTTGTTTTACAATTATGGCCATGTATTAGTTCCAACTGGTTATGGGATTCTATATTCTATAAATGGGGGTTTCTTAGTACTTCTAACTGGTATAACTCGGAAAATAACTGTGATATGTATAATCCCATTGAAATAACCAGTGATAATTGATAGCCATGGTCATGTCACTGTATAAATCTGTTTTTCATATCTCATGATTATCCCATTGTTCTCCCATTAGCTAGTTCGTTATATATCTAACACCGCCCATTCTGCAAACACCCCCGCGGCACCACTATGCATCGCAACGAGCGCCAGAGGACTCAACCAAATCGCTTGTCCTCACACCAATCCTCCGGTAAAGTTGCCTGGTGCAACCCAGTCACAAAAAATGGCTATAAAAATGGCTAGTTCTAAGGGTGATTCTAGCTTAATTGGTAGGCTATGTCTGGTGAAAAATCATATTAGATTATTAGATCATGTAATTTCCAAACTAACATAGTCCCACTAACTACTTGTGGGATCTTGTAAGGGGCTATATCACAAAATCCCTTGCTTCCTTACCGAACAAAGATCCGCTGCCAAGGCGACAACCAGGCAAGGCAACTACGAAATTCAGCGCGCGTGCTGTCTAAGTTGACACGGGCTTGGACAATTTCAGGGTGTATTCAGTCAATACAATGTGGTGCCCCCTAGATAGTTAAGTTGGTTAAGCCACTTGGCTGATGTCTTACCTCTACGTTGGCGGCCTGAGAAAGCCGTGGCCTGAGTTCCTGTTGGGGACAAGTGTGGTCAACAAAGGTTGTTGCTTATTATATTACTTACTTTGACCACATGAACATGTAAATACATGTATATATAAATGTGACATGTATACTGGTGTATATGTATACATGCATGTATATACATGCACATATATTTATTATTATCATCTGCGCATACCTTGCCGGCCTTCCTCAGCTCACCATATCATCCCCAGATGCATTTAATGCATTTCTGATTGACAGAAATGTACGCTCCAAAACCCTGGATGAAGTGGTCCTGGGTGCAACACGACGCGCCAACCTCGAGGGTCGGCCACAAAGTCTCCACTTAATTGGCTTGCAAATGTCAGAATGTTCAGGGTCCAGGACCCTAATTGCCCTTCCTTCAAAACTCCCAGCATTTGGTGGTGTAAGAAACGGCATTTCGGAATGAGAGGAAAACGGCGTTGTCTCCTGTCATAGCAAATCCTTGCCAGTTTCGCATAATGGAGCAAAAACTGAAGATCCCTCCGTCCCAAGTGCACAGCCCGATCCGGTTTCATAAAGAGCCCCTCATGGTAGAGGCCAGCGAGGCACTCATTCAAGCACCTGATAGCTTCTGCCTCCAGCGTGGCAGGAGTTACAATTTCAAAAAATGTCTTGTTCCAAATCATCCCCAAAAAATAAAAACCCCTGTATGTGCAAGAAGCTATGGATGTACCAAATGCAATGCAGGAACACACAGCAAGTACACTGGATCTGTAGTCTTTCCAATGACATTCCTGTCGCAGTAGTCTTGAAACCATTCAAGGAGCAGTCTTGTGTAATCGCCTTTGTTCCAACCACCAGCTGGGCAATCTTTGAAACTTGAAGATACTCCAAACAAAGAACTGGTCAGCCTTTTGTGGTATGGAGACTCCTTAACTCTGCAGCAGTAGCTTTGAAAGTCTTCTGTGATCTTCCCAAAGGCGTCCCCAATGCTGTAGCCCTCAAAGAGCTCTAGAAGCATGCATACCGCAGAGCTGGCAAAAGCTTTGCCAACACCTAAATGCACATTGTGAAACAAATCATAGCGAAACAGCTGGACAAAGGAACCTGGAGTTCCATCACGTTCGGAAGGTATTTGCCTAAAGGGAGAGCCAGGCTCAGCGCAATCATCCAGCCCCACTGTCTGAAGCCACACAGGCTCCTCAACTCCGAGTTGTTCAAATGGCACTGAATGGGGAAGGTCTTCTCCTCCAGCATCACACTGGTGACAGATCCCTTCACAGGGTTTCTTGCTACTGGAGGCTGTGGGTTTCCTGGTTGCCTTGTTTTGGCAAGGTAGGGCGCGTCCCCCTTCACTCCTATGCATGAGACGTAGGAGGACTGTGGTTTATGGTACTTATAACTATAGTTAATGGGGTTTATAAACTAATTCATAACTGGGGGGCACCACATTGTAGAATAAGAAACATCTGGGGTGATAGGAATACACAAGAATAGTAACATCATGTAACATCCACAGAAGGTGGTGCCACAAACGATAGCTAAGTTGATTGTAAACATATAATAAACAATATGTCATAGCTGGATTTTATGAAATATATATATATATATTTGAATATGGCTTTATGATGTATACATTTATACTGAATTGGAATTGTAAATCAACAAACATAATTGAAGGGCACCACCTTGTACCGATACCATGGCTACGCTGATCTTGAAGACTTAACATTAATAGAATGTTTTTTGTTGGCCTTCTGTTTCCGCCCTTCAGGTGTAAAGCAAATACAGTACCTTGTAAAGTGGTGCCCCCAAACGATAGTTAAGTTGGTGCAAATAACTCCAATAACTATGGTTTATGGTACGCAAATAACTATAGTATTCATGGGGTTTATATAGCAATCTATAACGTTTGGGGGCACCACATTGTGTACATGGCTTTGTCCTACTATCTATACATGGCTTTGTCTGAAAGGGCATCTCGAAATCCATGGGTCTATGATCATTGCAGTTATGGCCCTGAATACCAGTTTTAAGTACTAAGAAAACCACCATTTATAACATGTATAATCCCACTGAAATCACCAGTTATAACTTTCATAAATGGCCATATATAACTGTGCCCCCCATGTAAATTGGCAGAAACTGAAGTAAACCTCATCTAAGACACAGCCACCTGAACCTTAATTTTGCACCATTCCTTTCCAGCCGGACCCTGCGGGGAACGCGGGGGTTCCCGCCTGATCGAAGTGTGTCTCGAACCAGAGTCGTTTGACTGCCTACAAGAACAGTCGGCGACTAGGGGTGAGACCAGAATACCTGGAATTAACTGTGATTATGATGTTTACCCAGGATTAACAAACATCAATTTATCAAAAGGCTATTTTTTTGAAAGAAGTTTGGCACTATTTTGGTGGTAACCACACCAATTCATAATAATTAGTCAGGGTTTTTCCGGGCTTGACATTCACCCATTTAAACCTGGATCAAAAGACAATTCATCATTTATATACTGCAAATAAATCTAGATAATAGATCAACCCGAAAAATTGGCAAAACTGCGGTTATGGCCATTTATTAGTTATAACTGGTTATAAGTGGGATTATACATGTTATAAATGGGGTTATAAGTACTTATAACTGGTAAAGGGCCATAACTGTGGGTATAATCCACAACCCCATCAACGGGCGCATCACCGCAGCTTCTACGCTCGGTAGTCCAGTGTTGCTTCAGCAATCGAAGGATGGACTCCCTCGGAAGTCGATCACCGGGAGACGCAAAGCCAGGCAATGCCGATGCGTATGATTGTTTAAGACAACCACTGAACTGCAGTTATGGCCCGAGTTATACCAGTTATAAGTACTAAGAAAACACAATTTATAACATGTTTTTTATCCCACTGAAATAACCAGTTATAACTTTCATAAATGGCCATAACTGTGGGAATAACGTCACGGGCTGAATGATTCGGAGTATGCACTTGGTTCATAGAAGTTGGAAGGGCAAACTGTTCCCAGGTTCCAATTGCAGCAGCGGCGTTTTTGCGCCACGAAATGTCTCAAGCACAGACGTCAGTTTCAAAGGAGATCCCAAGATCTGTAAATGAATCCTTCATGGGTCAGATTACATGTCCATACTACCAACTGCTTGCAATCCCATCAAAATTTCCAAACCCGGTGGACCCAGGGAAACACCATAACATACCAACAGCTAGTAATACCGACATGAATAAGCAATCATGAGCATTAGCTCAGGGCTAAATCATACCGCTTGATGTTTCTTTTACGACCAGGTCCTCAAAAAATCGGCGCTAAAAATCACCCAAATGTTGGTAAATACACCATACATGGACCATCTGGGTTATGCTAACATCGTTTTTTTACTTTTAAGATCACACAATGGTTTTCTCATTTTTATTAGGTTCAACCCTGGAGCCAAATGCCCCAAATGCATCCAAATGCCAGTTTCAAGCAATCACTATGCTTATGGCTTGAATCTTTCAATATTTATGGTTTGAACCTGGAGCCCAGCCCAAGTTCTTTGCGAAAAACTTAGAACTTTATGGTGAAACACCACAAATTATGATGAATACCAGCAAAATTCAATTCATTAAAGCATGTGAAAACTCCTCCTTGGGATATCTCATGGTTAAAAATGTCCCCGCTGGTAATAAAGCCGACTAGGCCGGGCGGCACCTTCAACCCAGTTCCTACCGATGAAATCCCAGCCAGTAAGTAACCTTAAGTCTCATTACATTGATCACCATTAAATCATCATAAATATCCTGGTTGGTGGTTTTAACCATCTTGAAAATTATTAGTCAGTTGGGATGATTATTCCCAATATATGGAAAATAAAAAATGTTCCAAACCACCAACCAGTATCACTTTAAATCACCGCTAAACCCTATTAAATAATCATCAAAATTTCTATTATCTCCCATTAAGTCCCATTAAATCAACATATTATTCCCACTACATCAGCATTGAATCATCATCAATATCCATTCAAATCACATCAAACCCTATAAAGTCCCATTAACTTCCATAAAATCCCGCTAAATCACCATCAAAACACCATCAAATCACCAAAATAAAACTAGCTTCCATTAGTCCTATTCATTCCCATCAAATCCCATCAACTCATTTACCATCTGGTTAGTTAGCTATGGAAAATGGAACATTTATAGATTATGTATGATGATCTACCTACAGCAAACAGTGATCTAGTAGGTAGATGAAAGTAAATTGGCAAATCATTATCAACAAAAAACATCAACATCTTCTGTAAATGGGTCATTTTTCATAGCTACTGTTGATGGAAGAAATCCTGCACCAGTTGGTAGATGGTTTATCCCATTATAATCCGATTATTTATAGTGTCTTAGAGTTACCAATAGTTACCAACTGGTGCAGGATTTCGCAACCATCCACAGTATGTTAAATAACCAGATGGTATTTCCCATTCACATACCGATTTGTGCTGGTTTATTCCCTATTCATCACCATTAAATCACATTAAATCCCATTGAGCCATCATTATACCACTATCCCGTTACATTCACCATCATTTCACCAACGTTTCAACATACCTACAAAGTGGTGCCCCCTAGTTATAATTTTGTTTATAAACCCCATTAACTATAGTTATAAGTACCATAAACCACAGTGAATGGAGTTATAAACCAACTTAACTATTGGGGGCTCCACTTTGTAGTGATTTATCTTGGATTAGCTACTTCTCTGGTCGGAATGGGCACCACTTTGTACTTCTTGGATTAGCTATTTATCTCCGATGAAAAATAAACACATCATGAAATCTGCATGTCCGCCTTCGTCAGCGCGGGTAGCGACCTGGCATCCACAGCATCGGTGGCACAGGCGCGCCCCGCACTGCTGGGCACCAGCGACGCCAAGGCGTTCCTTGGCACCGGGGGATGCGCCTCATTGATGGTGGGACTTCATACAGGCTGGGGCCCCCGTTCGATAGCGTTCAGTTGGTTTATAAGTGGCTTAACAATGGTTTACTGTAGATATGATATAACTATAGTTAATGGGGATTATAATGGTTTATAAACCAACTTATAACTGGGGGGCCCCATCCTGTAGGGTTTTTTCTGGGGATTCTTTGTGGTTTAATGGTGGGTTAATGGTGGATTAATTAACCATCTAATAGTGATCAATAGTGATTAATAGTGATTTGATGGATTCATAGTGACGTTTAATGGTGGTTGAATGGTGGGTTAATGGTGGCTTAATGGTGATGGTTTAATTGTGATTATTAGTGGTTAATAGTGGATTCATGGTGGTTTTAATGCTGCTTAATAGCTAGTAAGAAGAATTTGATAGGTTTAATAGTGACAAATAGTAACTCATGATGGATTAACAGTTCAATTAACAGTGATTTAATGGTGACTAGTTTTGAGGGAAACATCCTGGGATACTAAATCAACACTATGTTCGGTTCATATTTCAAAACATGTGAGCCAGTTAGTCTTGGTAGTGGGTTGGAGACGTATGTTGCAAAAAAAACTGGCAACGCGGGTTTGAATGCCTTAAGGGTAAAACATTGGTATATCTTAAGGAGGTCCTGACATTGTCGGAGTTTTCCTGGGTCTACCCATCTTTTGAAGGCTACAGTTATGGTCCGAAATACCAGTTATAAGTACTGAGAAAACCCCATCTATAAAGTGTATAATGAAAATTTATAACCAGTTATAATTCATAGCCATGGCCATAACTGTAGTAATTTGCTGCCAGTCGCCCCATGCCGACTGGCTAGCAGAAAGTCACGATGCTATCGGGATCGACCTGATGCCTACCTGATGCCTAGCTCCTCGCTGGTCGCCCATTCCGACCAGAGAAGTAGCTAATCCAAGAAAAATCCCATTACACCCCATTAAATCACATTAAATCCAATTGTGCAATCATTATACCACTATCCCATGACATTCACCATCATGTCACCAACGTTTCAACATACCTACAAAGTAGTGCCCCCTAGATAGTTAAGTTGGTTTATAACTCCAATAACTGTGGTTTATGGTACTTATAACTATAGTTAATGGGGTTTATAAACCAATTTATAACTAGGGGGCATCACATTGTATGAATCCACCACTATACCACTATTCATCACTAGCAAAACATCTATTAACCACCAGGAAAATCATGAAATCCACAATTAATCCACTATAAATCCGTTATTAATCCCATTGAATTTCCATTCTCTCCCTTTCATAAGACCTTGATACTATTAATATCATTATATTTTAATATCCCATTAATATCCCACTATTAATCCACTATTGAAACCATTAATCCACCATTTCACCAAGGGTTTTCACTCCAAGCATCACCAGTTGTCTCAGGGAATCCAAAATCCCATCCGCTGCCGCTTTGGCATCGTCCATGACGACCGGACGTCGTTCAAGAACGGATTCTTGGAGTTTTATGCCATGGCTATTAGTTGTAACTGGTTGTTTCAATGGAATTATACAATATTATACAATACTATACATTTCAAAAATGGGTTAGTAGGGGTTATAAGTACATGAACCAAAACTTATTTATAGTAACCATGACCTTTTCAATGGTTATAAGATGTTGTAAGTACTTTTGACCGGTATTTCGGACCATAACTGTGGATGACGATTCGTCACGAGATGTCACGAGTAAACCATGGTTGATCCAGCATCCATCATATCTCCGACTTTGGGGGAGAAAAAACATAGACCATCTGGTTATGACTAACAGTTCGCCATGGAACATGGCCCATTTATTAAAAATGGTGATTTTCCATCTGGTTATGACTAACATAGCGAACTGGAACGTCCCCAAAAATATATGGAGGTTTATAGCTGGGAAAATCATCTATTTCTATGGGCCATGGCTTCCATGGCTATGTTAAATAACCAGAGGGTATCTGGAAAAAAAAACATCGTCTGTATCTAAGGAGAAAGAACACATATCTGAAAAAAAAAATAATCTGGTTGGTGGTATACCTACCCCTCTGAAAAACATGAGTTCGTCAGTTGGGGTTATGACATTCCCAATATGGAAAAACCACCAAGGAGTAATAACCAGTAATTGATGTAGTTTTTGGATCTGGTTGGTTTTGACTCACAGGGTTGAATGAAAAAACCGTTCAAGTCCACTGATGTCATCTGATCAACCCTATCCTACTGATCATGGAGGCATATATGATTTACCTTGGATTCATGGGGTGAGCTGTTATGAATTTGGTGCAATATCTCGAAGCATGTTCGAGCTGACGCAACAGGTTGGACCTTTCCGACAGCTCTGGATGATCTGCTCATGCTGTGCAATGAAGCTTCCTGTGAGCCACGTGCAACCAAGAATGTGCTTGTCGCAAAGGATTATCAATTGGAAGAACATTTGGGTTGTCTGGACATGGTGTCGGTGTATCCCCAAAAAGGGCGTGTTCAATAAGGAAAATTAGGACCATGATTCACACTATTTTCAGACACACCCATTTGACAATGCAATGCGTATGTCATGTATTTCTCCGATGAAATAAACCCTTAGAGCATGCGCAAATTGAGAGCATTCCATAAAAAGGAAGCAGAGCTACCCTTGCAAGAGGAAAGGGCAAAGTTAGAAACAAACCACAACGAACAAACACAATCTCTGGTCTACTTTGCTATTCTTGGCCAGTCTGCAAAATGTATCGAAATGTCTGATCATGAAGGAGACACTCTACATGAGATAGTCTCCTTCCCAGCTAGATTTTTTCCCAAATTCTGACCGAACCAATCGTTTCTCATTTGCTTAGTGGTCGAGCCACCCCTCGAAAAATAAAAACCGTTCGTCAGTTGGGAGCATCATTCCAGGCATTAGGTTTGAGCGTAAAACACGTCTGACCATGTTTGAAACCACCATCTGGTAAGTAGACTTACTAGATCTCCTATATCAACTTCTCACTTGGTATGTTAGGCACTGCTCAAAATGGGATCGAAAAAATGCGTCAAACAAAACCTCGTTGTCCGTCTCTCCAACCCAAATCTGCTATGAAAATTGGCACCGCACTTTTTTGCGATCTCAAGGTATAGCGACGCGTTTGGAGGTGAACGGAGACATGTAGTACCTGCGGATGGCTATCCCATGGCTGAAGGGCATTTGCTGGCCGTTTCTTGCATGGAAATGTGCATCTGAGTGGGCTATAGGTGATAAATTTGACATCCAACTAGCTGTAGGTTAATTCATGCTTAATTCCTAGGAAGGGAATCTAGAACTCGCCCCGGCAACCCTCAGTTGCACCAACAATACACACAAACAAATATATGTGTCCAACAAAAATGCACAAACAAATATACCTTAGACATTCAAACATATGTTTCAACTAGATATTTCTTTCAAACAACTGCAATTAAATGTATTTGTTTGTGTATACAACGTACGTGACACAGCAACACCCAAAAGATAGAGAAGTTAAAATCCGACAAAAATAATGAAAAATGACTTATAGACTACGAAATCACTAAATAAATACGATATATATATATATATATTTTTTGTCCCTATAAAATCTATACTTATTAGTACTCTCTAATGTCATTCCTGTTGTGAATTTGGCGACGAATTTCTGCCCGGTCCCCGACCGCCGTGGCCTAGCTCCCTCCTTGGACTGGAAAATGGGAACCGTGACGGTTCCACTAGGCGATCTGACCTCAGGTGGGGCCGTTGACGAATTGGTCGTTCAGTTGGTGCAAATAACTCCAATTTCATTATGGTTTATGGTACCTATAACTATTCATTAATTGTGGTTTATGGTACCTATACTCCAATTTCACTATGGTTTACGCAAATGACAAACTAGTTTTCATGGGGTTTATAAACCAAAAAACTTAACGTTTGGGGGCACCACATTGCAGGAAGTAATGTTGAATGATTAATCAAAAACATAGACAAACTCATAATCTCATAGCAACATAGTGTTTATCTTTGTGCTTCATTTTTGGGCATTAGGAAAACATAGACAAAATCCATCATAGTGTTACGTGTGCTTCATTTTTTGGGCTGCTATATAGATTGATGGGGTATCGTGTTTTTCTTAATTATGGGCATAGCCATCCCCCAACATGATTTGTGGGTCCTATCCCATGTTTGTTCGCAAAATTATCTACATGTTGTTTTTTTTCCCTGGTCTCAAAAAAACTACATTCCCATATATCACAGTCAAAATCAATAGAAAGTGTGTCGAAAAAATCTGACCGGAGTTGTGTTTACCACAAAAACAAAAAGTTCTCATGTGTCATGTGTGTCACATTACACATAATGAGGTTAAATTCACCACAGTTATGGTCCTTTAGTTATAAATTATAAGTACTAACAAAACCCCATTTATGGTTCATGTCTAATCCCAAAGAAATAGCCAGTTGTATATAACTAGTAGCCATGGCCATGTCATTGTATAGTATCCCAATATTATCCCATCAACTATAGTTATATAATTGTATATCTTCCATAAACCATAGTTAAGTCACTTATAAGGCAACCTAGCTACTAGATGGCCATTATTATCCCATCATTAACACATAATGAGGTGAAACTCACCAGTCCTCTCCCCAATGCCAAAAGCCCCTCTGAGACATTCGACGCTTCGATAGCCCACGCGTTCATCATTCATCATCGTAGGCGCAGATGACCTGATGGTCTTCCCGGGGCATCCGCTATGGGTAGAGCGGATTGAAATTTGGTGACTTAACCATCACTTATAGCGGCTTTAAGCATCAATATTCTGGTGATAACAAAAATGATACATAAACTTTGATTGGTTGTTTTAACCACTCAATATTCATGCTGATATAAGTGATACAAAACCTTTTAATGACTTTGATTTGATAAGGTGGTGCCCCATTCATCAGGCTAAGGTCGCCCCACCTAGGTCCCACTCGTCGGCACCTCTTGGACTTCGCAGAACGCTTCTTGGAACGCTCCATTCGCAGGCTTTCCATGTCCACCTGAAGGGCAAATGTCTGAAGATGAATCGCTAAGATACCCAAACAATAGATGTTTTTAGCTGGTGAATGTACATTTTACCATGGTATTTTATCACTGTTTTACCATGGATAGCAAAAAAATGCCAGTACTTGTTGGTATCTAGCCAGGGTTGACCCCACCATGATCCTCGAGGAAAACTGGGGACAAGGACGGAACACGTGGAAAATGGTCATTGGGAATGATACTCCTTGCAATGTGGGCCCCCCCAGTGATGGAACGATGGTTTATAAACACCATGAAAACTAGTTCGTTGTTTGCGTACCATACGCCATAGTGAAATTGGAGATATTTGCGCCAACTGAACGCTATCTATGGGGCACCGCTTTGTGGGGAAGATTGGAATACACATTGGGAGGAATCCAGGAAAATTGGGCCAGCAAAATGAATTGAACCAATAGTAAGCCAGGGTTTCGTTTTGTGAATATCTGCTTGGTGGTTTTAACAATCTTGAAAAATATGAGTTCGTCAATGGGAAGGATTACCCTCTGGTAGACTAACAGTTTGCTATTGAAAATGGCCATAGAAATAGTTGATTTACCCATGAATAGCACGGTGATTTTCCATAATTATGTTAGTTTACCCCATTAAAATGGTGATTTTCAATACTTTTTTGTATGTTTACCAGAGGGTATCCCATATATGAAATGGACAAATAATCCAAATGTTAGTTAAACATGACTGGTTGGTGGTTTCAACCCCTCTGAAAAATATTAGTCAGTTGGGCTGATTCGTCCCAATATATGGAACAATAATCCAAATGTTTGAAACCACCCACCAGATCTTGCCTTACCGGCTTCTGATTCCCAGCCTACGTTGAACTCCGGTGTAGGATTTGCAGCATCCCCATCTGACACCGCAAGAAACAATGAAGTGTACATGGATACAATCCCTCCATGTTAATATGAGTTCTTCAGCCAAGAATTACTGGTTGGTGATTGACCTACCCCTCTGAAAAATATGAGTTCGTCAGTTGGGATCATGAAATTCCCAATATCTGGAAAAACATATTCCAAACCACCAACCAGATCAGATTAGGAGGAAGGAACTCCAAACCAACCAGATCCAACCAGTTACTGGACCGAAGACTTCTTGAATGTGCACTGCTGCTAAGTTGGTACTTGGGTAATCATCAAATTCCCGCCCAGTTCCACATGTATATGAAATACATATCAAGCAATCTTGACCGTAAACATGCAAAAAGACATTCACCATAGATATAATATCTACAATATCTCTACCATCAACCTGAGTTTTCTGAGCTATAAACATGATAAATCAGCTTAGCTTCCCATTTCTCCGACACCGGGTCAGTTTTTTTCGCACCTCCCTGAGCCATGCGGCTTCCAACTCCGGATTTTCGGCCTGCCGGTCGACGATCTGCATGGATTTTATGGCAACCAAAAAAAAAACATGCGGGAAAGTCAGGTTTATAGGAATTTTATGGGTGATTTATTGGGTGATTTCTAGGGATTTGAAGTGATTAATAAGGATTAACAAATTTATGATCATCAAATATAGGGGGGTCACTACAATGTGAGGCACCAAAGATAGCAAACTTGGTGAACATGACTACAACTAGGGTCTATGGGCGATATAGTTACAGGTATTTAGCTATGGAAAATCATCATTTTGAATGGGTGGATGTGGGGGTGGGGTTTGACGGCAGCCGAGTTTCGAAGATGCTGAGATCCAGCTCTCTGTCTGACGTCGTAGGCAAATTCCGAAAGAAAGACCACTCCAACGACTGTGCTCGACCCAAGATCATGTACACATGCTCTTTGTAATCATGCCCAAACGAATAATCAGGTTTCGAAAGTCAATGGTATGACCAACACCTTTCGCAGTTTTTCCCTGAGCGTTGTTGTATGTGCCGGCTTGCAGCGGAGCCAATGGAAGAATGGAAGCTGTACTGGACTTGAAATGGCACTGGTCCTTTGCAGTGCCCCTGGAGATAGAAAGCTGTCTTCAGCTCGGTTCGACGTATCAAATTCCAAGCAAATCGAGCTGTGAAAAATACCCGTATCCCATCCCACTACACTGGTTGATTGACAGGTATCCCTTTTATCACCAAGAAGCCAGGTAGGTCTATTTTGACCAATCAGCCATAATGTATCAATCATATCCCCATGTCTCCATATGATGAGCCAAACCATGATCCAATATGGGAATCCCTACAAAGTGGGGCCCCCGTTTACGATAGCGTTCAGTTGGTGCAAATAACTCCAATAACTATGGTTTTTGGTACCTATAACAACTATAGTTAATGGGGTTTATAAACCATCTTAGAACTGGGGGGCCCCACATTGTATAAACCAACCAGTCTATTGGAATGATACGGGGATTTTGAACACTGCTCAATTGTGTATGGTTAAACCACTATTTTGGTTCTGTTCCGGGGGCACCGTGAACAAAAACTCACAAAAAAAATGGTGTCATTGGCACCACCAATTCTGCAAAGCGAAGTTCAAACAACAAACATTTGGTGTCAACTAGTTGAATTCCATTGTAACATATATTCATTACAAAAACGTTCACTATAGTTCAAATTTCAACTACAATTATAATGTCACTTTACATTTCAATGTGGTTTCAATATTGATTCAACATTTATGTAATAATTGCAAGTTAAACTACAGTGTAATTCAACAACTGGGGTTCACTAGGGTTTATCGGTGATGAAACAACACATGAGTAGCTGGTATTGTTTAGTTGTATACTTATATTTAGGTGGTGCTCAAGTTCGTTAGCTAAGTTGTTTTATAACTTTAAAACTTACTAGAACTGGGTTGGTTGTTTGATGTTAATTACATAAAATCCTCTATCCCATATCATTATACTAGTTGGTTGAAAACGGTTTCCCTACTATGGGTTATCATAATCCTCCACTAAAAAAATAGGTAGTATAAGTCCCTAGTTCCTAACTAATCAAGCAGGGTCTTTTTTCCCGAGAGCGTCTGAGCGCAGGGTTCTTCCAATAGTGGGGGTCTGCATCTCATATTCTCATCTTCACATTTTCTCATCTTCACATCTTCTCATCTTCACATCTTCTCATCTTCACATCTTCTCATCTTCACATCTTCACATCTTCACATCCTCACATCTTCACATCTTGAGTTCTTCACATCTTCTCATCTTCTCATGTTCACATCTTCACATCTTCACATCCTCACATCTTCACATCTTCTCCTCTTGCCCTCTTGCCCTCTTGCCCTCTTGCCCTCTTGCCCTCTTGCCCTCTTGCCCTCTTGCCCCTCTTGCCCCTCTTGCCCTCTTGCCCCTCTTGCCCTCTCCTTCTTTTCTATTTCTCTTCTGAAGGCGGGCAGGGGCAGTGCCAACGAGACGGCACGAAACGAAACCCTTTCGCACGAAACGAGGTTCGATCGCCAAAAACTGAGGTAAAATTGCGATTCGAAGGTGTCCCGCGCAACCCTTTCGCACGAAACGAGGTTCGATCCTCAAAAAGTGTGTAAAAGCTTTTGTGTACAAAAGTGTCTGTGTGTGTGCAAGCGTCTGTGGTCAACTGTGTGTGTGTGTGTAAGCGTCTGTGTGTGTGTAAGCGTCTGTGTGTAACTGTGTGTGTGCAAGCGTCTGTGTGTAAAAGCTTTTGTGTGCAAAAGTGTCTGTGTGTCAAAGTGTTTGTGTGTAAAAGCTTTTGTGTGTCAAAGTGTCTGTGTGTCAAAGTGTCTGTGTGTAAAAGCGTCTGTGTGTAAAAGTGTCTGTGTGTAAAAGCGTCTGTGTGTAAAAGCGTCTGTGTGTAAAAGCGTCTGTGTGTAAAAGCGTCTGTGTGTAAGGGGTTCTCTGTGTAAAAGCTTGCTCTGTGTAAAAGCTTCTGTGCGTAAAAGTGTTTGGGATGCAAACTATTGTCTTGTACTTACGCTATATTGTCTTGATACTCCTCTTCTCGACTGCCTATAACACATCTTTAATATATTGTTTGGTAATATGGTGTCTCCATACTAACAAGAGAAGACCCTGCTCCTCTACGCTCTCGGGCCATCCGTCGTCTAGTTTTAGTGGCCCACTTGGCCATCATCCAACAAACAAGCGACGGATTGTGGCACATATCTCATCAAGAAGCACAAAACCAATCTCCCAGCAAGGACTATGTTGGTATTGATGACCAACACACCTTTTCTTTGGTAAGTTGGCCGCCAGTTCATTTCTGGTTTTGGATTCAATAAACCATTGGTCTCAACACTTACGGGCCAGCAAACCACAGATTCATGTCGTTGCTTGGTACACCATCCTATATTTGGATCTCATGTCAGGGCTTGATATTCCCCGGATTCATACAATGTGGGGCCTCCCAGTGATGTTAGATGGTTTATAACCCCATGAAAAATATAGTTATTTGCGTATCATAAACCATAGTTCTTGGAGTTATAATAAACCAACTTAGTTAAGTCGTATCATAAACCATAGTGAAATTGGAGTTATGTTCACCAACTGAACGCAATTTCGTCAACGGGGGCCCTTGATTCATACGGCCGTTTGATTTTTTCAGAAATCACCACATCCAACGTCCTGACCAAGTTGTACCCAGCCACTGGTAAGCATACATCTCAGCCACTTCAAAATAAGTATGTATTAGTATGTATATAAATATTATATATATAATGTATGTATATAAAAGGCCAAACCAAGAACCAACGAAAATAACCAGAAGTTTAAGACACAACTGAGGTATTTCAAGGGAGATAGTGTCAATTCAGGACTCCCAGGACTGACAAACCTTGATCAATTCATTTTTGGGTCACCTGCAAACAATGGTAAACAATGGCAAATGGCCAAATTATGAATGATACCTCCCCAAATGAAACCTGGTTGGTGGTATACCTACCCATCTGAAAAATATGAGTTCGTCAGTTGGGATGATGAAATTCCCATATGGACAAATAAAATTCATGTTCCAAACCACCAACCAGACCATTATGAGATTCCCATCAATACCATTAACCACTCTTAATCACTATAATCACTATTAACAATTAAGGTAACCAAACCACCAAGCAGTAACGGTCTGGTTGATCAACTTCAGAACCCTCTTGGATGATCGAAAAACCATCAACGGCAGCTTGGGCCACAGTTTCTTATGTAACTGTAACTTAGTTCATAGCTAAATTAACGATGGTTCATGGCGTTTATAGCCTCTGGATCCCTCTGGTAATTTGTTGCATAGCTATTGAACATGGCCCATTATAGTTGATTCTGCTATACAAACGGTGATCTTCCACATCTCCAGAGGGTAAATCAACTTATGACGGAGGGGCCACAATGAAATGGAGATATCGTGAAAAACAAAAAAAAACCTGAATCGAATTTCAGTTGGATCATTCCATGTCATTTCCGCAAAACACGAAGAGGAAGTCGGGATCATCCCGAGTTTGGGACGGAAAACTGGCGATTTCTTGCAGTTATGGCCCGAGTTTTACCAGTTAAGTCCTAACAAGACACCCCCCCATGTATAAAATGTTGTTTTATCCCATCTATAAGTCACCAGTTATAACCAATAGCCATGGCGACAACTGTGCTGTATATCCCCAGTTCCAGAGTTTTTGTTTGAATTCCCCATCTGTGGTGGTTTAAGTTCGGAAAACCTGCACTTTTGGATGGAGATCCCATGTGCTATCCCGAGAAATTGCTACAAAGTGGGGCTCTCAAGTTCATGTCACACCGTGTGGAGTCACACCATTTAAAGTTGTGTCACAACACGTGCTGCGAACTTACTTAAGAAGTAACTAAATTGCCTAATTATGGAACCCCACGTGTGGCACAGTCAAAATATGGTATATGTAAATGTGGTATGGTCATTCACAAATAATGAGAATCCAATCTGGTTAAATCCCTGTGTCAATGGATTAGTGACCATCCTCCAAACGTATGGGTTAGATTAATTGCTACAATCAAAATCTAAAGTTTGCTAGAGTCTGGTAGATGAGGAGACAAATAACGTTCATCTATACATTCCCATGGATTGCCCGTATTTCTCAATCAAAATGATTTGTAAATCACCAAACATGGCTAGTCCAAGCAATCCAATCGATTAATGTTGATTAATCATCTGCAAAAACAAAAACAACTTCAAGAAACAAAAGAAAGTGATTGATCCATCTATAAATAGATAATTGATGAAAATGGTCCATAGCTACGTCAAATAACAAGAGGGTAAATCCACATTCAATCCAGTTAAATCCAGTTAAATCCCATGAAAATCATGGAACATCCATAATCCCCATGTAATTTCATATGCAACAATCCAAAATAAATCCCACTAAAATCATAAAATCCATGACACCCCAATTTTGATTTGATATAATATGTTTTGTAACCACCATTTTTCCATAGCTACAGGATGGGGCCCCCGTTCGATAGCGTTCAGTTGGTTTATATCTAGCTTAAGTATGGTAGCAATGGTAGATATTTCACGAACTAGTATTCATGGGGTGAATCTAAACCAACATTCACATCACTAATGGCTTAATCATGGTTTATGGTAAATATATATATAAGTGTATAACATTGTATAACTATACTTAATTCATGGGATGTATAAAACAGCATTCACATCACCTTTGGGAACCATCCTGTCTGGAATCCCAGGATTGCCACCTGTCGAAGCGCATCTTGCAGCCGCCCCTGCCGCAGCTTTCTGCTCGCATGGGGCGACCTCCGAGCACCGATGCACCGCTTCGGTCGGAAAATGGTCATGGTTTTGTAGGCCCTATAAGCCAGTTAACCATGGTTGCTTTGCGTGGCTTTGTCTGAACATGGGGTGTAGCATTTTAATAGCCATTGACTGGGGAATATGATGATAAATCTTCAAATGTTGGGGTACATTACTTTTTGTGTCACCTGGATAAATTATAGGAATTCACCAACCTGAAGTAAGGCTTCTTCTTGGTGAGGTCACGACGTGAGGTCGTGATCAAAATTTACCCATCTATGTAGAACCAATCAAAATTCAAAATTTTCACGCCAAAGAAAATTATTGGTAAATTATTTCATGACAGCACCCTTAAACCATGTTCAAACGTCCCAGTCCCTTTGTCTCCTGAAATCAGCCTGCCGTAGGCATAAAAGCGTACCCCATTCTCTTCCTTCACAAACTCGATCTCTCCCTGCTCAAGGGCCTTGTTGAACTTGGTGTCACATCCTTGGAAGTACATTCCAAGGATCAGGCTCTTTGGAAGAGCCTCTGTCTCGTCCTTGTTGTACTTCTTCTCATACAGCGCCTTGTGGCTTCGAAACTGCACATCTGAGACGTCCATCTCCCACTGTCCATTCTTCTTCACAAACAACTTGTTGATCACCTCTGTCTGGAGACGTCTTTTGCCCATGGGACTGTGTTTGGTTTCCTTTTTTCGTATAAATTGATGAGGTACGCAGGCAAAACTCCTGCAGCTTTCATTCGCGCCCACTTTTCTGCTTTCATCTTGTCACGGGAGTTCTCCCCTTCCGAGGTCCGGTACAATCTTTACCAGTGATACGTACTAACAAGTCACCCCATGTATAAAAAGGTGGTGTATCCCATAGAAATAACCAGTTAGAACATCTTATAACTAATAGCCATGGCCATAAATGCAAGCAAATTTATACTAGATCATTCTACATCCGATTGTATCCCATTATATATGTCCCCATTATATTTCATTATACATCCAAGAATCGAAAGATAAATTGAGAGCCAAAAAACAGTCGACGAGTTGTGCAGGATGTACCAGTAGTATGATGTTCTCCCCAAAATTTTCCGTTTTGGAACTGTTCTATCTAGTCAGGGGATGCTATACTAATTGGACATATAATATCAAATAATCTTATAGTCTACATAGCCCCAATACCCCTTTCATAACCCTTATGAACAACGATCTTTTGATTATGTCCATAAATTCAGACTTTTTCAAATTAATGTTAAAATCAAGCTTTGGTTGTTCCATGTTGTTCCTTGGTTCCATCACAGCACACATTCATCTTTTTCAACCTTTGGCAATGTAGATCGAACAAAGCTGAATTTCAGGTTATACAAATACGATTCCACCCAACGTCAATGGATCAGTCATGCTAATTCAATTTATTTTTTGCATGGTATCAAAAAAACTCTAATCTTTGCATGGTTCACTGGATTGGTTTAAGGGAAAAATTACAGGAAACTCCTTTATTTGATGGAAAAATATATGGTTTCCTGTAGATTTTCCCTTCAGCCAATCCATCGAATGATGGTGCCCCCCAGTTATGTTTGTTGATTTATCCCATCAACCAGTTCTGAATGCATCCACCATAAAGCCAGCCAACCCAGCAGTGAAGTGAAAATATTGCGATCAGTTCAGTTTAAAAAAAAATGGTTTGGTGAACGCACCATTTCAATGGGAATTCCAGGGTCCTAAAATGGAGGTACGTTCGTACCATATTTTTGGCCATATTTTGCTGGGGTATTCCCTGAAAATTCGGCCTGAAAAATAGGTCTTATATATGGTAGGTATCTCCAATCTAGGTTCCTGAAATGGCCATTGACCATTTGGCTCTGTCTGAAAATAGGGTGCTCCCTATTCCAATGGATGATTACAATTTTCCCCAAGCTGGCTAGTTGTGGGTCTCCCTTCTGTTCGGACAAACCCATTTTCCTTCATTTTTCATTGGATTGGTTTAAGGGAAAATCTTAACCGGAAACCATTGTTTTTCCTATGAAATATGGGGGTTTCCAGCAACTTGTCCCTTAAACCAATCCAATGAATTTGCAAACCCCATTCACTATAGTTATATCTATCATAAACCATAGTTAAGCCAGTTATGTGTCAACTTACCCTCTGGTTATGACTAACATAGCGAGCTGGAACATGGCCCATTTAGTTCAATGATTTTCCCAGCTAGAAACCTCCATTTACGGTTGGGATTTGCCAGTTCGCTATGTTAAATAACCAGAGGGTAATCACCATTAATCACCATTAATCATGGATTAATCACCATTAAATCTCCATTTTCCTATGGTTTTCCTATGGTTTTCCTATGTGTCAACTTGGTTATCTTGGGGGCCCCATCCCCATCCAAAAAAACAGCAACTTGGGGGCCCCTCGCCTTGTCGCAGGGCCACGGCTGGAAGACCGTGGAGTGGTCTGCGTGGCAGCACGGCCAGCGCGGCGCGCTGCGTGGCGGGACCTTGGGACCCCTTGGGATCTCGGAAAGGGCAAAGGCGGGAAAAGCTTGGTGGTGAAAGCAATCATCTACCATGGTTATAAATGTTATATAATGTTATTAAGGTCAATAATGGTTAGAAATGGTTATTAAGGATTCATAATCTACCTTGCTGTGAGTTAATAATGATCAGTTAATTCTACAATGTGGGGTCCCCCAGTTATAAAATGGTTTATAAACCCCATTAACTATAGTTATAGGTACCATAAACCATAGTGAAATCGGAGTTATAAACCAACTGAACGCTATCTAGGGAGCCCCACTTTGTATATATAATGGTTTTTGTAATGGAGCTATGGAGATATCTATGGCTTATGGTTAATATTAATAAATGTGAAAACAGGGTTTCATAATGTTCTTTTCATGGAACAGTAACCAAGAATCATGGAACAATCATGGAAACTTGTTGCGGTGAAGCAGTAATCAATAATGGAGCTATCCATGGTTAAACATGGTGAGTTATATATATGGTAAATAAGTCTGTTTCACCTTGTTCTAAACTAACTTAGCAGAACGAACTACCTACCAAGGATCATCCCGCGATCATCTTAAATGGTTCATGATCCTGGTAGTCCTAGTCCTAGGGTTATCATATTTACCTGGTATATGGTAACTAATGGTTATAGCTACCATAAGATACATCAAATGGTACCATAAAATGGTTGCATAACTTGTATAATTAATTGTTTTATAGGGATTAACATAGGGATTTCAAAACTACTGGTTGGTGGTTGACCTACCCCTCTGAAAAATATGCGAAAGTCAGTTGGGATTATGAAATTCCCAAGATATGGAAAATAAAACATGTTCCAAACCACCAACCAGTTACAAGTAAGTTCATGTTCATTGCCAATCTTAGATGCCCTACCAAAAAAAAAAACTTTGCTGGTTAGTAGATAGTCCCATTGATACCTCGGATCGCACAGCAACGAGTCAACGCGCTGAACCACTCTATCCCGGGCCGCATTGGCGGGAGTAGAGGGCTGAGGGTGCAGTGAATTCTCATGAAATTGGTAACTATGATGATTGAAAACACCTTGGTAAAAGTGTACACACGGTACAAAAGACAGCAAGATCCAACAAGCTGTCCATACTTTGTGATGAAGAATGGCCAAACATCGCCATGTTCCGACACATGGCAAGAGGCCACACCACGGTTCTTTTGCCATGGCTAAAGCCACTAAGATTCCATATAATCACTGGTGCACACAGCAGCATGTCATTCAGCAAAGTTTTAACCAGCATTCGCCTTCAAAACAAATCCTCCGTTGTCACGTCATAGCCTTCCTGGCATGGAAGGCGCATCTTGCCTTGATTCATGTCCATTGGCATCCAAGTGCAGTCGTCTCAGGCGGAAGCGAATATAGCCAAGTCAAAGCCTTGAATACACACAGCGCAGCTGACAGTTGATAGTCAACTTGTGATTCACGCTTACCTTCACCACTGACCAAAAGAGCATGATGCCTCTCGTGTGCGAATGCCACTTGGCACGCTAACACTGTCCACATCACCCAACCCATTCGAGTTTTCACCGAGCATGTACATCCAGTCCAAGTCAAGGGATTGTGCGACCTCATGTAACTCGCATTGGCATCCACAATTGAATGGTGTACAGTGACAGAAGCAGGTGACTCCAGTTGGACTCGTTCTTGCGGAACCTTCTTTACTGAAAACGCATGCTTGCAGGAAAATACATCAAGATAATAGGTGGTTTTCACGGAGTCCACCACCTTAGGACATATTTCCTGCAGATTAGAATCCATGTCCCAATTGGTAGCACACCCTGCTGCACAACAACAGCACACGCCCCGTGAAGGCTTGGGCCTCGTGGCTGTCCCATTGATACCAAAAGACTAAAGGATTAAAGTGCCCATCCAAGGTTGACCTAGAGTTGTAAACCCAATAGATTTTGCCAGACCTAGCGATGCTTATGACCTCCACTGGGATGTACTGGGATATTCCCCAGTTACCAATCCCACTGAGAAACTCACTGGTAATCACAGTTACAGTTGTGGTCCTTTACCGGTTAAAAGTTCTATGTGCTAACAAGTCACCCAATTTAATTCAAACATATATAATCCCATTTATTTAAAACCAGTTATAACTAATAGCCATGGCCATTTCACTGTAAAACCACATTTTTATGGGCTACACAGGCCACGAATATAATAGCTACGATTCGTGGGATGGTCCTCCAGGTATAAAAACCAACCAACCAGCGATGGCTATGTGGACGCACAATGATGTAAATAAACTACAAAGTAGGGCCCCCGTTTACGATAGCGTTCAGTTGGTGCAAATAACTCCAATTCCACTATGGTTTATGGTACCTATAGCGAACTAGTATTCATGGGGTTTATAAAACAATCGTTCCATCACTGGGGGGCCCCACATTGTACCATCTGGTTATTTAACATAGCGAACTGGAAAATCCATCGTAAATGGAAGCTTTACTGGGAAAATAATCTATTTCTATGGGCCATTTTCCAGTTCGCTATGTTAAATAACCAGATGGTATATAGTAAGTGGGGCCTAGCCATCCAACATGTCTCAGTTAGGTTCATTGGGATAGCTCCGTGTGGCAGTGGACAACCCACCATTTACCCTAAGGATCCCTAGTGGCGCTGGTCCAACAAGCATCGATTTCTGATGCAGCTGGGAGATGCTCAGATGGCTTCAGCTAAATGTGGCCGTGCAAAGAGGCCATGTCATCAAAGGCAGAAAGAAACCCAATGTTCCAAACCTATTCGCAGGTTGGGTATCTCGCGAAGTTCTGCGTAGCCGCTTCGCTTTGAAACATGCTTCCACTTGAAACAAGTGCTCAGGGGTTTACAGGGATGCAGTATTGGATAGAACCAACCTGAACGATATCTACCCTCAAGCTGTTTTGATATAGATATGAATAACGCCACCTGTAGGGTTGGTGTGTCGAAAATGATGCTGCCGAAACGACCAGTTCAAAGGCTTTGGCCGTGGGGGGTATAACCCCTTTCTTCATGGTTATACATATATTACAATGTGGGGCCCCCAAGTGTTATAAGTTGATTTATAGACCCCATGAATACTATAGTTGTAAGTTGTAAGTTACAAGTACCATAAACCATAGTTATTGGAGTTATAAACCAACTGAACGCAAATACGAGTTTCCATGAAGTAAACCATCCAGCTATTGGGGATCCTCCATTTTAAGAAACCCCCATACAAAGTGGGGCCCCCGAACGATAGCTAAGTTGGTTTATAACTCCAATAACTATGGTTTATGGTACCTACTTTGGAGCCGCCTGGGAACTTAGGAACTTAGCTGGCACTTAGCTGGCACTTAGGTTACTTAGGTTTGAGGGCTTGCTAAGTGTGAGCTAAGTGGCCGCTAAGTGAGCTAAGTGATTTGCATTGTTTTTTTTCACTTTAGGTGGTTTCTTTTTTTGAAGATTTGGATGTTTTTTTTGGGTTATATAGTCAGGTGAGGAGGCAGCTTTTTTTCTTCATGATGATGTTGTATGGTCAGCGCAAAAGCCAAAGACCATCTTGATCTTCACGTAGCAAACGCATTGGTTCTATGTGCATCAGTTTTGATGCAGGCAGGATTTGTTTGGGGCCCCGTAGGCATTTCCATTTTAGAATGAATTTCTCCGTCAGGAAAGGTTGCAATATTTGCACCACGGCATAGAAACGCACAGAAATCGAAATCCCACGGTCTTACTCCTTGCTTCGGGGTGGTTTTGGTCTCCAAGGCCGCAGACATCTGTCAAAAGTAGAAATTGTTTCTCCTTCCGCAGACATCCGCAGACATGTGACCGCATGCAAAGCAGCCGTTTTCCTTGGTCGCAGACACTCGCAGACACAGCGGCAAGTCATTCCCAAGCACTTTGGCCTGGTTCGCAGACATCCGCAGACATCTGCCCAGAGAGGCTCAAACGTCCGCAGACATCCGCAGACATCCGCAGACACATGCAGACAGAGGATGTTTAGAGGTTCGCACGATATGCAACGCTATTATATTCTGCTTCTTTACGCAATCCGTAGACTGCGTCTGGCTTCCCATAGAAGCCAGGCACTGCGTCGGCACCACTGAAACTCTCGGCTGCGATCCGGCTTCCGAGAGAAATGCCAGGCCAAGATGTTCAACCATTTGCTGCAGCGATATAACTCCGGCGCCAAATGGACTTGCTTCCACTGCACATGGTCATACCATGCGCTTGTCGCTTCCTTGTAGGAAGCGGGAAGCAGACAAAGGCCACTGATTTTGGGATGGGGCGGAAGATCTACGGACATGCCTGAAAACCAAAATGCCTGCAAAACGTACCCGTTTCCGTCCTACCAACCAACAAACCTCAAAAAACATAGGTTCGCGATTCGAAGCTAAGTGCCAGCTAAGTGCCAGCTAAGTCCAACTCACTTAAATTAGCAAACTTATATGTACCCCTAAGTTATTAGTAAGTGCCACCTAACCTCTAACCACTTAGCAGCCACTTAACCACTTATGAAGCAACTTAGACATAACTTATCCACTTATAACTACACTTACATGATAACTTATAAGTCCCTAAGTCCCAGGCAGGTCCAAAGTATAACTACGGTAACTACATTTATATAAATATATGGACTTAAATATACGGACAGGTATTTTAGAGTACCTCCGGGAAGGCTTTCCTGGGCCCGCCCGGCCATTTAAACATACAGAAGCCAATTCATTTACTGTAAACGTACGGTATTTACATTTAAAAACGGGTATTTCATACTACCTCCGGGGCCTCGCGGTCTGGCCCGCCCTCCACATATTTAAATGTCGTTACCGTATATAGTTAATGGGGTTTATAAACCAACTTATAGCTGGGGTTTACAACTCCAATAATATTTATGGTAGATATCACTGTACTTACTATGGTTGAAATACTTACTATGGTTCATTAACCAATGGTTTATATATCATCAATGGTTAATTTATACATGGTTCTTAACCACTGACCGCTCCGGGGATGCTGTCGCCCCAAAACTGAGGTCAAGGGCTGCTGCCGCCGTCGCCACTGAAGGAAATCCTCCAGCGAAGGCTCCGTACATAGCAGTTATGGCCATGGCTATCAGTTTTAACTGGTTATGAATGGGATTACAGTATACCTTTTATAAATGAGGGTATAAGTACTTATAACATCTTATAACTGGTAAATGGCCATAACTGCAGCAGTAAAACTGCGGGTCTGTTTCATCAATGGTTTGGTTTAAGGGATCATCTTAACCGGAAACCATGGTTTTTTTACCATCAAAATAAATGGGGGTTTCCGGTTAACATTTTCCCATTATATATCCAATTCTGTGATTTTAAGGACAATATGGAGATGGGTCAAAACCTATTCTTACATATTCTTACCATGTTTGGGGAATAAACATCCAGTCACCAGATATTTTAGGGTACCTACAATGTGGTGCCCCCTAGTTATAAATTGATTTATAAACCCCATTAACTATAGTTATAGGTACCATAAACCATAGTTATTGGACTTAAAAACCAACTTAACTATCGTTCGGGGGCACCACTTTGTAGGGTGCCAGGGTTTTGACTCATGGCGGTGTTCAATAAACTTGGATGTCCAGGCACTGATTATCATATTTGCTACTTAGTACAGCTGGTTTACAACCAATAAGCTGGAATATGGGAAACAAGAAAATGTGGATATGTAATCTAGATGATCAACAAAACTCAAGTCAAGAGTTGGTATATCTGGCTTACAGCCAACCATGATATTTATTAAGGATTTTAATAAATTGAACACCATCTAGAATCTAGACACGACAAACCGCGGAGTGTAGTGGCAGGCAAAATGGTGAGAATCAGCAAAGATGGGGATGTTTTTGGCCGCAAGATTGGGCTTCGGGCTGGCTGTGAACAATCGACACAATACCATGGTCTTTGTTAAGGCCCGAGTTATACCACTTATAAGTACCAACAAGTCACCCTTTATGGAATGTATAATTCATCCCATTAAATTAACCAGTTAGAACTAATAGCCATGGCCATTTCACTGTGCCAATGCATACAGGGTTTCGCATAGATTCTACTGTAATCCCACTCCTCGTGTTGGCAAATGGGTCTAGTAGCCGGGGCATACCCACAATGGTCGGACACCACAGTAAGAAAAAAATGAAATTACCATGTAAGCATAGATGTATCATACACTTATGGCCATGGCTATTAGTTATAACTGGTTATAAACAAATGGGATTATACATGAACCATAAATGGGGTTTTGTTGGTACTTATAACCGGTAAAGGGCCATAACTGCAGTTCGCCTAGTTATCAACCAACTTCGCCGAATATTTTTGGTACCACATCGCTGACTTCCAGACTCATCCAGGGATGAATGTTGGAGGTAAGGGAATTTTCACAGTCAAATATAAAGGACATGTCAACACGATCATATGTGACATGTCAAGTTTGTACATTGAATAATACTGTATATATATATGTATGCGTTAATAATGTTAATGTAATTAAACTATATCGAAGTATCTATATGAGTTTGCTCAAGTTTTCAATCTTGAATTCTTATTTTAGATTATGGATCCAGCAACTTGACAGATCCTGGAAGGCTTTTTTTTCGGGAGGCCGAAGTACACCATGTTGACTAATGGTGTCTAGCCTGTATGTTCCCATTCGTTTCATGGAGATTTCCTAGCTATGTTGGACTACCAGATGTTATTTTTTCCATTTCAGGTTTTCATTGGTTCAACCAGGTAAAAACACATACTTGAGACATTTCAGTGGTCTGCATCACACCTTCATTGTTCGTTGATTTAATGACAAACACACAATACTTTGGTACAGACTTTCCATGCAGTTGCTTAAAAACCAATTTTGTTGTTTAAAACTTACTTAAATCCATCTGTTTGGTAGATTTCATTGGTTTGAATCTTCACTTGTGTTGGTCGAAATTACTGAAACCCTTCGTTTTGTACATATGAGTGGCGAACATCTACATGTTAGTTTGCTTGCTCACATACTTAATATACTTAAACACTTGCTTTCGGTGAGTTTCAGCGGCTGAAATCTCAACTTTCATTGGTGGCTTAATTGTTCCCTATGTTCATTGCTTCAAACAAACCACTGAACAGTGCCCCCAAAACAAATAACCTGAATCCATGTTATTGAATATGTAGGGTGTAAAGGGTACACTATCAGGATATAGCAAATAATATACTATATATATATATATATACTGTAGTGAAAGATAGTTCTTGTTATCTTCATTACATGAACCTTACAAACCACTCCGGACATCTGAGGTGCCTCCAGGGTAGGTTCCTTCTTCTCTTCTGGCGCAGCCTGGCTTGCGGAATAAGGAACAGCCCCAAATATGATTGGAAAACCATCCAATTGAAAAGTAAGTGGGTTCAAAACTGGCATTGGTATATGTATTGATTCAAAATGAGTATATCTATTGAAAATTCCTTAATTCACTGAAATGGCGTGTAAGGGAAGAAATTCAGGTCACCGTAGGGTGTTTTGTCCCATGTTTGTGGGAAGTTTGGTGCAGTCCACCCAGGGCCCAATAAATTGCCAATAAACGTCATCAAAATCAGAATGAAAACTTGTCAAAATTGAGACCCGAGGACTTTTCAAGTTTGGGTACAAGCATCTCATTTCTGGGTGCTATGCGCTGCTTTTGTTTCTTCAACACGGAAGTTTTCACATGACCATGTTCGTTGTAAAGGGGTCTTTCTGGGTGGGCCGCCCAACGGAACACAATCCCCTTCCACAACTTCCGTCATCAACAGGATCAGTCAACGGTGGCTGGGATTCTAGACTTGCAAGTCTTGTACGCATACACCCAATGGCCAAGACTTCCAATTTGGTATGTGTACCATCCATTATACTGGCTGGTTTATAGGGTGTTGCATATAATGATCTCCCGGCAACAATTTCTCAAACAAACCCGTATTTTTTTAATGGGCAACCCCCTAAGGCCCTTGATGGTGGAATCCCTAATCTTGCTTGCTACATCAAAATTCAGCAATGTGATGCCTGTGAAAACTTCATAAACCACCACTTTGGAGGGTTAAATCAGCTACCCTCTGGTTAATTATTTAACATAGCCATGGAAAATGGCCCATTGTAGATGATTTTCACATTAAAACCTCCATTTATAAGGGATTTTCAATGGCTATGTTAAATAACCCGATGCTATTTTGGACATTTCTCACCACCCAACTCTGCCTGTGATCTTGCAGGCTTTGACGACTGGCGCAGCTGGAGAATGCTGGTCCAGGGCCATCAGTCCGCTAGCTGAGGCATAGTAATTCCCTGGGCACTAACTTCATGATCCACCTATCCAACTATTTTTGAAGCAACAAACAGGAACATGAATGTTTATGTAACCGTTAAACCCACATCAAGAATCTGGGGGATATCAAACCAACACCTTATAGTCAACAATATGACACTATAGTAGAGAGTCGAGTCTGAAAATGTGGTAAATCCACCTAACCCAAAAACATTGTTAATACCTGTATGGCCATCGTAATCCATCCAAGTTTCATACTATGCATATACACATGATTAATTACCTATAATATACATATATACCATCTGGTTATTTAACAGTTTGCCATGGAGGTAAATCATCTATTTCTATGGGCAATTTTCCATGGCTAGGTTAAATAACCAAAGGGTATATATATATATATACATATATAATATCCACATATATCCACCATAGATCTCCATTTTCCTGGTTAATTACAGTAAATCTTCCCCTGTCCCGCCACAAGCAGCCAAGAACTCACCCTGGTTTCGCACCCTGGCAGCTTTGCTGTCCGTCTCTTCGTTGCTTTCCTCTCGCGGTCGTCGGAAACAGACGACGGGGCTGTCTGTACAGGTTGCATTCCTGTTTGCTTATCGTTCCAGAGCATTTCACTATGATAAAATAAAGGCTATCTGGGGATAGTGACCACGATCCTACAACCATCATTTATGTCGTGAGAATCGTTATAATTTATCCAGATTTATGTTGCATACATCCAACAGTCGAATGCTCCCAACTTCCTTCGAGGTGACAGAAAATATCACCAGCCATCACGACCGACCTCCATTCTCTTGTGAAACCAGTAGTAACAAATCAACCATCAGTTGTCACGATATCCAATCCCCTTTTGTTTTACTTGTTTCAACCTTCGATATTGCTGGTTAAACTCCATTGTTTTGATGGTTAAGCCACTATTTGGCCTGGTTCACTGTTCAATCCATAATCTATTAACTATATCCCTTGATTTCAGGTGGATAAACCCATTCCACACCATAATTTTCACAGTCGCGTTTCTCCCAATCAACCATCATGTAAAAAATATATTCCAAAATCTTTGATACTTTAAACCCCATACAACCTTTTTTTTGATGCTTCAGTCTCTGTGAAATCACTCAATCAACTCATATTTGATAGTAAAGTCACTCTTTTGGTTGAACCACTATTTCGGCCGCTTAACGACTCAACCAACCTTCATTTCTCAACTATACCCCCAAAAAGTGTTTGATAGTTAATTCCTCAGAAAACCCTTGCAATTATGGCCCGAAATACCACTTATAAGTACTAACAAAACCCATTTCTACAATTTATAATCCCACAGCCAGTCATAAGTAATAGCCATGGGCATTTCACTCTATAACATCCCATTATATAGTTATATATCTACCCCAAACCATAGATAAACCACTAATAAATGGCCATACCCTCCAGTAAACTAACATAGCCATTGAAAATGTACCATTTAGTTCGTTGATTTACCTAAAATTGGTGATTTTCCATAGCAAACTCTTAGTAAAAACGGTTAACGGTAGTTTTTCGATGCTGTCCCCGTGAAGTGGAAAATAACTAGTTATAACTAATAAATAGCCATTATTATCCCATTATTCTCCCATTATTATCCCTATAATTTCCTAAAATTCCTATAAATCCCCAAGAGGTTTTAAAGTAGATCACCACCCATAGTTGAGCCCATTATATATCTAACACAAAACATAATTATATATCCAATAAATGGCCAAGTTCTATATTTCTCTACCATAACTATAGTTAACTATATTTCCCGATATTTCTCTAATAACCATTAATAAGATAGTTTTCCCTATGCTGGTTGGTGGTTTCAATCCCTCTGAAAAAATATGAGTTCGTCAGTTGGGATCATTATTCCCAATATACCCATATGCTCCATATGGAATATTTACCAACATTTGCCCGAACAAAATCACCCAGTTTTGTAGGTAAATATACCAGCACCATGGAGCATATGGGATATGGAAAGTCATAAATTTCATGTTCCAAACCACCAACCAGATGAAAATGATGTTTTTTGAGGCATATTTAGCCATCAAAGCTGGGTAACCACACATTCTTTGTTCAACCCATTGGAGATGATGTCAACCATTTCATGAGAAACCATGAATGTTGACATGGTATGACCTATAACCATGAATAACTCGCAGTTTTTGTCGATGCTGCGCCTTAAACTTCATGGCCTTGGCATAGGCCTGGCTCAAGGCATGGAACCTCGGTGCTGGAAGCTTGAAACACTGACTCAAGGCCCTCAAAAATGATGGGAAAATGATGGTTTAACCATAGAAAATGGTAGGAAAATGGTGGTTTCACCATGCAAAATGGCGGAAAAGTGTGGTTTAACCGTGAAAAACGGTGGAACATGGTGGTTTAACAATGAAAAATGGTGGAACATGGTGGTTTGACCATCAAAAACAGGACTATAATCCATGATATAACCTCTATAAACTACCATCTATCCAGGAATATAGTTCATATGAACCACTTTATAATGGGGATATGAACCTTCATAGAGGGAATAAACAAGTTGCCGATAATATGTGACCCCTGACCATTTGTTCAGCATTTTTGAGAGGAAAATCATGGGGAATATCAGGAGAATATCTGTGAACTATGGTTCTTATTAGACATGTCCATGTTGCAGAAGCACGTGTAATATGATATGGAAACACAAAAACAATGGAAATTACGATTGCATCGGATTATCGATGTTGTAGCATGTCCAGCAAACCCTCTGGTAACCTAAGAGTTTGCTATGGAAAATCACCATCTTTAAGTTCGGTAAATCAACTATTTCTATGGGCCATTTTCAATAGCAAACTCTTAGTTTACCAGAGGGTATTGATCATTACCCTCTGGTAAACTAACATAACTATAGAAAATCACCATTTTCAATGGGAAAATCCACTATAAATGGTCATTTTCAATAGCTATGTTAAATTACCAGAGGGTATTGCTGAACATATTGAACGACAAGACTACTGAAATCTCGTGGCATCATCCCATTCCACCAAGCTGCGATCAGCTGGTGTAGAAAAAGCTGGCAGAAATTCCATGATGGTCTCATCATTGTGCCAATCTTCAACCAATGGATGTGTGTGCTTAAAAATAAATAAATAAATATATATATATAAAAGTACCAATTATATATCCCATATGCTCCATGTATGGTATATTTACGTACATTTGGGTGATTTTTAGGGCAAGTATTGGTAAATATTCCATACATGGAGCATATGGGTATATATATATATAAACACATACATACTTATTATATTCCATTCCTCTGCGCAACAAAATTTAACATAAATATCCCTTGATATTCCTGTGACAAGTCATTATCTTCCCTCATTGACAATGATATATGGCTCATGATTATCCCACCATGATTAGGAATTCCCCAATTAATCACCTATCAACGGATTGATGATCATCGTGTTCCATCATTGCCCATCATTGTTATTATCACTATAAATCAATTCATATCTATGAACACCATAGGCAACCAGGATCGAAAACTGGGAAAATATTAATCTTCCAATATTTTCTTGGTGAAATTGCTCTGGTAAACTAACATAGCTATTGAACATGGCCATTTATAGTTGATTTACCCATGAACAATGGGAATTTTCTATAGTTTTCTGTATGTTTACCAGAGGGTAATCCCATAAAACCCTCATCTAGAGGTGTCCCCAAATTTGGGTACCCCCAAATCATCCACAAAAATTGAGAGTATTTCCACTTTTTGAACCATCCAGCTCCTGGAGTACCATCATTTTAAGAAACCCATACCACATATAAATACCATTGATATACCCATAATATACAGTACCATAATTTACCACTATACATCTATATTTTCTATATATATATATATATAGCAACATTACACATCATTATCTGTTCCACAACATACTGGTTGGTGGTTTCAACCCCTGTGAAAAATATGAAAGTCTAAGTCAGTTGGGATTATTCTTCCCAATATATGGAAAAAAACAATGTTCCAAACCGCCAACCAGTATATTTTAAATCCACTCCTGGCTGCAAATATCCCTGCCATTCGTTTAAATGGTACCCTCCCAATTAAATGGTACCCTCTCAATTAAACAGCCGTTTGGGGGTTTATGAATACAGAGTTGACATTATATCCGTAATATACCATAATTTACCACTATATATATATATATATGTGTATATATATATATATGTATATATATATATACATATAGAGTAAACTTATATATCATTATCTGTTTCACAATATATCTATCCATAATACCAATGCCTAATTTCCGGCCCATGGCGCCTCTCCGTATCTCCGCCGGCGGCGTCCGGATGCACCGTGCGCGCCTTGGCGCGGAAGGCCGTGCGCACTTCGCTGGGGGAGGCGCCCGGCGACACGCCCAGGACCTAGGGCCCGGGGGCGATGGGGGGAAAATGTCCAGCGAAAATGAAGGAAAGTTGCATTTATGGCCCTTTACCAGTTATAAGTACTAAGAAAACCCCATTTATAACATGTATAATCACACTTGTAACCAGTTACAACTCATAAACGGCCATAACTGTGGGTTTATGGTGATTTAATATCACAGTACATACTGTAATATGTATATATATATATACATACCATCTGGTTATTTAACATAGCCATGGAAAATCACCACGTTTAAATAGGTAAACCATCTATAAATGGGCCATTTCCCATGGCTATGTTAAATAACCAGAGGGTATATACTATGATATAAATGTGATTGAAAGGGATTAATCATGATTAGTCAACTTCATACAGTTATGGCCATTTATTAGTTATAACTGGTTATAAGTGTGATTATACATGTTATAAATGGAGTTTTCTTAGTATATTGACGGACTGAAACTTAGAATGCGCGTTTGGAAATTTCACTCCACACGTGCAAAACTGAAAAATTGCATTTTACCAGCATTTCGGAACTTAGAATGCGTCCCCCCACCTAGGATGAAGCTATTCGGCAATCAACAGTTAGAATGCCTCCAAGGACATATGTTTTTTCCAGGCAGAAATACATATATATCCTAGACCCTCCAAGTCACCCTCCAAGTCACCATAAAAAAGGTAGTTTACCACATAATTTTCATAGTTTTAGCAACTTTTCAGGGTATTTGGAGGTTCTGGGTATATGAATGTACCTGGTTGAGAATATCTTTTTTTTTTGTGCACTTTGCAGGTCTGGGTAAAGATTCTATGAAAAGTTTCAATGAACCGACAGGCAGCCCAAAGGCACTTTTACTCGCTTTCCCCGTTCCATAACCTTGACAAAGTGAGTTTCCCGTACAAAAAGACACGATAAGTTGACCTGATTACAGTCATATACCCAGAACCTCCAAATACCCTGAAAAATTGCTAAAACTATGAAAATTATGTGGTAAACTACCTTTTTTATGGTGACATGGAGGGTCTAGATATATATATATATATATATATATGTGTGTGTGTTTCTGCCTGGGAAAAACATATGTCCTTGGAGGCATTCTAACTGTTGATTGCCGAATAGCTTCATCCTAGGTGGGAGGGGGGCATTCTAGGTTCTGAAATGCTGGTAAAATGCAATTTTCCAGTTTTGCTGTTTAAAGAAAGCATATAAACATCTTTTCCAATCAGTGACAGTTACAGGCATTCCAGCTAGTGGCCCATCTCGGAGATAAAACAATGGTATTTATCAATGATGGGGATCCTCTACTAAAGCCACATTCTAACTGTCTGTTCAAAACCATTAGTGGCTGGGTATGTCCTCTTTTCCCAGAAGCCTATCTACCTCAGGTATGTGTCCAAAATCGCAATTTTTGTACGGGAAACTCACTTTTGTCAAGGTTATGGAATGGGGAAAGCGAGTAAAAGTGCCTTTGGGCTGCCTGTTGGTTCATTGAAACTTTTCATGGAATCTTTACCCAGGCCTGCAAAATGCACAAAAAAAAGAGATATTCTCAACCAGGTACATTCATATACCCAGAACCTCCAAATACCCTGAAAAGTTGCTAAAACTATGAAAATTATGTGGTAAACTACCTTTTTTATGGTGACTTGGAGGGTCTAGGATATATATGTATTTCTGCCTGGAAAAAACATGTCCTTGGAGGCATTCTAACTGTTGATTGCCGAATAGCTTCATCCTAGGTGGGAGGGGGGCATTCTAGGTTCTGAAATGCTGGTAAAATGCAATTTTCCGGTTTTGCTGTTTAAAGAAAGCATATAAACATCTTTTCCAATCAGTGACAGTTACAGGCATTCCAGCTAGTGGCCCATCTCGGAGATAAAACAATGGTATTTATCAATGATGGGGATCCTCTACTAAAGCCACATTCTAACTGTCTGTTCAAAACCATTAGTGGCTGGGTGTGTCCTCTTTTCCCAGAAGCCTATGCCCTTGCTCGTCCCGCCATCATCCCGAGCAATGCGATGAGCCAGGAAGTCACCAACAGATACCAACAGCACCACAAAGTTTTATGCGAACATCTTAGGGAATCTCAAACTATAATAAAGTTATATATCGTGGAATGCAGGGGATCAATGACAGATAGAATGCCTCTATCATGTATTTTTGTACGCTTTGCATCATTGTTAAATTTCTTTGGAGGAAAAATGTGTTGAATGCAGAAGCACAGTGCCCCGACAGGACATCAAACTTTTTGTTTCAGTCCCAGTCTTATGCACTGGCATAAGGGGTATTAATAAACAGTTAGAATGTCGGCACCTTCGCATTTCTCCAAACTTCTGTAGCCTGGGGTAGAGCTATGGAGTTGCTTGTGGAGGACTTGCGGAAGAATCCACCGCCAGGTTCTGTTTGTCAAAGCTTCGGAGAAGCAATATGTAGATATGTGCGGGTGGTTTTTGGCATACAATGCTTGTGTATACTATACATATGTATATGCGCTCCGTTTTTAATATATATATATATTTATATTTATTTATTTATATATTTATTTATATTTATTTTTATATTTATATTCATATTTATATATGTATATATCTAACATCAATATGTATATTTGCGGGACTTTCTGCCATCCGCGGTTCCCTGTGGATAGGTGTGAGCCCAAAAGCTCCTCCACCGCTGACTGCAGAACCGCCCTTACCACCTCCAGTGGATTCACCATCCAATGACGGGGATGGCAGGGTCTCTGCGGAACAGGCGGTCACGAATTCAGTTGTTCCACCAGCCAATCCTGCAGCCCAATCGTCATCATCATCATCATCACCAGTGGAAACCCATGCTGCAACCAAACTACCGGATCAAGTGAAGGAGTTGAAAACACAGCACCTCAACGTTTATTTGATGGATTTGTTTTTTTGTCGGGGGGTCCGTGTTATTTGGGCCATATTTTTTGGGCATATTTTGCAGGAAAAACCAACCAATCAGGTACAATGTTTGCTTTGGGAAAAGCGCTATTCGCAAGTTCACCAAAGCAGCATGGTGCGACATGGCCACAGCTCAACGTGCTGCCGTCATATTCTATGACTTGACCAACCGATTCATTGCCAAGTTTTCCATGCACACTGGTGAGGAAACCGGGAAAGGGATATGTATAGAGAGAGAGAGAGAAAGAGAAGACAAAAACACATATATATATATACATATGTATCTATAGGTTGACTTATGCTAAACACATGTAATTTTTTGATTAGGCATTCTAACTGTCCTTTGCAATGGATTAGCGTGAACCAAAGCCACATGTATATGTATTTGATATTGCCAGCACAGGTTTGGGCCCATGGACACTTCTTTAACCCATGTCCACTTTCTAGAGCAGACATTCTAACTGTCCTTTGAGTGTGGGACCAAAACTATACAGTTGCAGCCCTTTGTAATTCTATATGACTGGTTTTTCACTACATTTATATTTATATATATATATACATTAAAAAAAGTGAACAGTTATCCTCCTTCCATTTGTAATGGCTAAGGGCCATACTTGTATCTATTTCATACCCGGGATCATTATTCAACTTGTCAGGAGCGCAAGAAGTTCTTGGAGGAAGAAGGAGTTCTGATCAAGGGCAGAAAGAGTGTAGAAGATCAGAAGCAACATATTCGAAACATGTGTTGTGAGGCAAAAATAGCATCAATTGAGCAAGCTATATTAGATGGTTTGTCTCCATCTCCACAGGGCAGAATTGTGAAGAAAGGCACAGAGTTCACAGGCGTTTTTGAGACGGGGGATGAGACCATTTCCAAGGGGTTCAGGTCGTTGTCTTTGTGCTTATCATGGATTGCACGGATGCATCACCATGGCACGAAAGGGAATCTCCGCAAAACACCGTTGGCAGACAGGGACAAGAGAAACCTCGCTGAAGAAGTGCCCCAGTGGGAAAATGTTTTTTCAAAAAAATACATGCACACAAGCACATTTATTTATTTATATATATATTTATTTATATATATATTTATTTGTTTGTTTATTTACTTATTCGTTTATACATACACAATTTTATATATAACGCACACACACATTTGAATATACATGTCGTATATATATAAGTAAATTTACACATGTTTTTCTTTATTTATACGTCATGTCACAAACCGTGGAATTGATGGAATATTGACGAGGTGGCATTCTAACTGCAGTCATTTCAATTCTACTGACACGAATCCTTCTCGACTGCAGGCAACCGTGAAAGCTTTTGCAGTGGCTGGAGAAAAGGGCAATTTGGCTGAGTTGGTCGCACAGGACTCTTGCACTGCACTTTGTCACAGTGAGGATATCACGAGCATTTTTGTGGCTACCAGAAAGAAGGCTAGCTGTGCACTCCGTCCATGCGCTCTAGCTGTGCAGAAAGCTGCGATCATCAGTTTCCAAACGTGGGCACTTCAAAAGCCTGGAACTGTCGCTGTTGTTTTGGGTCGCTATGAAAAGCAGAAGTTTGCATGCCCGAGCTTCATTTGTTCAGACGACATTGGACCCAGTCTTCTTCAAGATCCGAAGGTCCTTGAGGCTTGCCTAGCCCACAACATGGAAGTCTGTGGAATCGCTTTGGTGGGCAAGGTTGAGGTACCGGATGACAGAGCGATGGCAGTGAATTTTGCTGCCAAACTTCCCAAGACTACTGCCCCAGCCACAATTTGCATTTTTGTACCTTGCCAGCAGGCGAGACATTTTTTTTGGGTAAATACTATATCCATTCCATATCTGCGTGTTTTATCGCTTTGGCCCAGAGACAGTAGCTAAGGTAGATCCAGACAAACCAGGGAACTGGTCCATTAGGGAGATTGCGTCCGACCATACAATGACAGCAGTTGAGCCAGTGTACACATACTGGAGGGCACAGCTGGCCAATGTGTGCTGGCAAGACCATCTGCAGCAAACAAATAGAGGGAGGCTTTACGAAGGTATCATCCAAGCGGTTGGAGCTACTGTTTCCGCGAAGGTGAAGG